TGTTGTCAGCTGACAGGCTGAGAGAGGGACGCCATGGGCAGAAGTTGAAGTTAGTTGGACAAAAAAAGAAAAGAGTATAAAAAAGAGAAGAAAGACGAACAGAACAAACGCTACAAACGTCGTTATGAGGACTGAGTACTAGTCACTACTAGACTAGCAGTACAGCAGTACAGCGTAGTGCCTAGTGGGTACAGCTTACAAGTACAATGACATGTATGTACACGTACATGTACATGTGTGCTCCTCCACATTCGTCTTGTCGTCAATGTTGAGCACTCTCGCCCTCGGTAGGCTGCTCTTGTCTAGAGCTGCTGCATTACGCACTCTGATCTGGCGCCTACAGTATTGAGGAGTGAGTATCAAGAAGAAGACATCCAGGAGGGAACAAAGAATACACGGCTGACATTGCAATGGCAGGAGGACTCAAACAACCCCACGTCATGTATGATGAGGATTATGCAGTCCAAGACGAAAATAACCGACCGGCCGAAATTAGAATGTCACGTGTAATGAGGGTCAGAACCAGGGCTAATAGTAATACTAGAAATAGCAATACTAGCCCATCCCATACGGTTCAGATGGTGGCAACTTGCCAAGAATGTAGGTGTGACGCGTAACCGTAGGCGTAGGTCTACCATGGGCGGGGGCGCTCTACCATGGCGGGGGGGGGGGGGGGGCGCTCTACCAACCGACCCGTGGATGGGTGCAGTAATCAGTACTAGTAATACTAACCATGCACTGTCTCCAAAAAAACCCACTGTCTCCACCTACATCATGACATGTCGACATGTACTGGCACCGTACCGTGTCAGTGGTACTGGTAGGTCTACAAACCTTTGATTTTGTTACACCAACAACACGATTACAATTTCAAATTTTGGACTTCACGGAGAATTTCAAACTTTTTAGGAAATTAGAGGCCACATGCCACCTACTGCTCTTTTCTCTCCGAAACTCAACACTTGCAAGCCAGATATGAAAGAAAGAAAAAATCATCAGTCACACCACCGGGACTCGAACCAGGGACCTTGCTATTCGCGAGCAATGCTCTAACCAACTGAGCTACAGTATGACTCTTATCCACAGTGATGGTAAATCTATCCTTCTTCGATCAATTCATATCTGGCTTGCATCATGCTGGCAACTCACACCAATCAAGAGGGCCCTCGGCCATTCGCTTGATATCATGGGGAGCGCATCAAACTATGTCCACTGCGAGCAAATACAAATTTTCAATTTCAAATTTTGGACTTCACGGAGAATTTCAAACTTTTTAGGAAATTAGAGGCCACATGCCACCTACTGCTCTTTTCTCTCCGAAACTCAACACTTGCAAGCCAGATATGAAAGAAAGAAAAAATCATCAGTCACACCACCGGGACTCGAACCAGGGACCTTGCTATTCGCGAGCAATGCTCTAACCAACTGAGCTACAGTATGACTCTTATCCACAGTGATGGTAAATCTATCCTTCTTCGATCAATTCATATCTGGCTTGCATCATGCTGGCAACTCACACCAATCAAGAGGGCCCTCGGCCATTCGCTTGATATCATGGGGAGCGCATCAAACTATGTCCACTGCGAGCAAATACAAATTGCAATTTCAAATTTTGGACTTCACGGAGAATTTCAAACTTTTTAGGAAATTATTCTTTCTTTCATATCTGGCTTGCAAGTGTTGAGTTTCGGAGAGAAAAGAGCAGTAGGTGGCATGTGGCCTCTAATTTCCTAAAAAAAAAAAAAAAAAAAAAACAACACGATTAGATGGCATAATCTACACAGCTCCGTAGACTATAGTCAGTTTCAAAAAGATTAGCAATCCTGGTGATCGCCCGGGGAGTTTGCTGTCTTACCGTATGAGCGCTCGAGCGCTGCCTGGAAAAACTCACTGTGAACTCGAAGAAATATTCCGCGCGAAAGCATGAAAAATGACAACTCACTGACGATCTTCCTCGCATCGATGTGGAGTCAGAGAGGACATGTCGAAAGTGTGGTAAATTTTGACGAGCGGGATGCGTCCGTTTTGTGACCAAATAGATTCTTTGAGCTGCCGCGGATGCAATTTACTCTCACGATGTGACGAAAACGGCATCGACACAGACTCATTCCCAAGGCCTTGAAGTGGCAAAGTTATCCGTGTGACTTCGACGACATTTTGAGATAGCAGACGCCTGTGAAAGCTGATAGAAGACGGCGTTGACTCCTAAATTCAAATAAATTGGCGATCTTCAAATACTAAAATAATTCTCAAACAGAAATCGATCGATCGCGATGTGCCGGTTTATTCAACAACACGTAGCTACAGCGCAATGACTTCCGTGTTCACTCACACGGTTTCAGTGTTGTGTGTGTTCACAACTTCACATGGCGTGAGCCAGTCATTCAAGTGTCAGTCAGTTCGGCAGGAAACGCGAGCTCCAACAAGTCGCTTGGCCATGGCGCAGCCACCTTCTTTGTCTTGTACCAAAACAATGAAAAAATTGAAGAAAAAATGTTTGACTTGAAGATTTGTTGGGATTTGAACTCACAACTTCATGGTCAGCAGACAGCATTCATAACCACTAGGCCAAAAAGGAAGGGATAAATCGTGGGTTTTGATAACAAATCGATACTGGCTTCCAGGGCAAATTATAAACCATGGGAAAAGGCCAGAAACCTGGCCGAAATACTAACTCCTTAACGGTTGGTCCAATTTTTCCGAAACCTTCACAGAACAATTTGCCGTGCCCTAACAAGCCGTTTTATGTACTTTGTTGTCAAGATTTCCCTTATCTTCATACTTTTTAAGACCTAAACTTGATTGCTAATCTTTTTGAAACAGACTGTAGATCTACACTACAGCATGCATGCTTTGCACAGACTCAGTCGATGTCCTGAGTCATGACTCATGCACAGGCTTAAAAAAATGCGTGAAAAATAATTATAATTATTTTTATGTCATGTAAAAAAGTTGTTGTTGCTGTGTACTTGTTGTCCGCTGCAGCGTTGCCTGGTGCATGTACGGAGCGTGAACAACTCAACAGTTACATGAGATGATCGTTTGAAGTCACTCTGGTGCTGTCCTCCTTGAGCTACGGACGCACTGTCTGTAGTGCTGGTTTCTGTGCTGAACTCTCCTGGCGGTAGTAAGACGATGCAGTCGTAAAGAGCAGCGCCGCTGCGTCTTGTATGACCTACACAAATGATCGCGAGTAACAGTTAGAAAGTGCGTCACCGGAGGTTTTAGTTTTGCCAGGTGCAGCACAGCACCCAGTCCTAGACCTAGCGCGACATTCAGAATATTTTAGGAGTTTCCATTCGCCGATTCCCCGACCGGACAACCCAGGAACACTGCTAGCCATGTCAACGGGGCACGGATCTAAGCGTATCCATCTCAATGATGCATTGGAAGATACGCCCAAGGTACAGCAATCAATATCTAGCTAGCGCCCTTTTCTTCTGACAGTACCGATACTAGTAGTATTTGTTTCCTAAATGTTTTCACGTGATTGCATTTATGACCCCCAAAATGAAGCAGCACTGTCACAAATAATGAACAGCTAGCCATCGAATGAAAAATGTAACCTTTCAAGTGGCTCTGAAAATCTCTGGGAAATGATTCCGGACCCATTTTATGATCCCTATTTTGATCAATTGGAACATCATGCACATCAATGTCATTTATTATAAAAGCTGTGTAATCACCTGCTTGATTAGAAGTAAAGCACGCACAGCACGTGCTCCCCCCCCCCCTCCCCAATGAAACGCAGCTTCCTATGCTGGACTACGCAAATAGCATGCATGCACAGGTACAGCACATTGTCGGTTGATTTGTGGTTTAAGTCCCCCCCCCCCCCCCTCAGTGGACGATGTTTGTTTGTGCGGAATATCAAGGGCCTTCCTGGGTATGGAGGGAATCATGAGTCCGAGGAACAGATCCGCAAATCCATTCCATACTAACGAAGCTCGGACCACGCAGGGTATGGATTATCCAGTGAGGCCAAGGGCTGCGTTTACACGGAGACAAAACGAAATGGAACAAAAACGCTCGACCCTCGAATTGTTTTCAAACCGTTTACACGAGAATGTCAAATTTTTGCAATGGATAAAAAGAGAGGACAAAATGGTACGAGTTATGACTAACTGTCCACCAACATAACTAGATCATGTACAGTCAGAGAGTGTGACGAAATGGCACAAAACTGACAAGGAGTGCTGAGACATTCACCGACCTGACACCTATTTTGTCATCTCTTCTCATCCATCATTACTTTGGCTCAGCATCCGAGTTAAAAGTTTTGCAATGTTTACACGAAAACCGGAAATGGGCAAAGTCAGGCGAGAGTGGGTACATGCTGCACAGTCCTAGCCAGGCTAGAAGAGCAGTGTTGTCGCCTGCTGAGTACAGTTTGACAAGAGCAGAACAACTTATACCAGCGACAAGAATGCTACTCCTGACCTCGCTCCCTGTTTCCAATCGTTGTCACTGTTTACACGAGAGCGAAAAAAACACTTTGAAGTGCGTTTCCGTTTCGTTCCGTTTCGGCATTTTGAAAAAATCCACACAAAAGCGCTGAAATGATGTGGCACGTACTACTACTAGTATTTCAGACAGGCGGTAATAAAAGACTGGTGCTTGTTTCCAAAAATATGGAATGCTACCAGGGGTCGAAAACAGGCAATTTGCTTGGTCTGGAAAAAAAAAAAGGTTGGTCAAGATTGTCCACGTCTGCCCTGCTAGAAGGTGAAATGTCATGGAGGCTGTGTTGTACCCGATTCAGGCAAAATCACAAGTGCGCCTACAGTCTCCAGTGGTAAATACTAAATTTACTGGTTCAAATAAAAGTGTTGATCGTGTAGTTGGTGACGGCAAGGGATAACTGTGAATAACCTGGACTACTTCCAAGGCACCATGGTGGCTGGAGGTGATTGGCAGAAATCAACTTTGGCTTTTGATTACTTGGATTAGATGGCAACGGGTTTTCTTTTCTTCCTCTTCTCTCTCTCTCTCTCTCTCTCTCTCTCTCTCTCTCTCTCTCTCTCTCTCTCTCTCTCTATCTATCTCTCTCTCTTTTTACTCAGACACGGGCTCTCATCAGTGAGTTTGAACAGGGGACACTAGCTCTCCATGACTTCACAGTCACATTGCTTACAAACTGCAGAATTGTGGCCGACCTACAGGTAAGCTAAATGGAAATACTTCCAAACATTCATTGTACTGACAGTGCTTTCCTGATGATGTACTACTGGTCCACTCTCTTTAATAATGTCTGCTGTGTTGTTTGATACTCGGACAATATAGTCTTCTCTGCATTATTCTGTCTAACTGACAGGCGCAGATGACCAAAGCTACCGGCAATCTGGCCAACCATCTTAGCGAGGGCAAGAACTTGGTGAGTAGATTGTGCTGTGTGCGGTGATCATGATGGCAGTGAATTAGCTATGCAGGACATCAATTATCAGTACATTTTAGATGTCTGTTTGTATGCGCGTGTGTGTGTGTTTAGTGTGTCCCATATGGTGCAGTGGTATGTGCAGCGATTTCCAATCGATAGGTTGCGGGTTCGATTCCCGACGATTATGGTCACACACGTCTTTCTTCTCTTTCTCAGCCTCTTCCTGACTTTTCTTTCATTCTCCTGGGTGGTTACCAACAGCCAGTGCATGCCGGAGTATGTGGTGTGATGTGTGTGCGGGAAAAAAATAAAAAAGACCAAAAAGTAGGGATTCACTGGCCAGAAAAAGCCACTTCATAGCTGTGTGGTGTAGACCAGGCTGAATAGTGGCGGCCAATTCTTCAGCCTTGCAAGCTGGTGAATGGTGCAATCCCAGCACAAGTTGCTATGGCTTCTGCTGTAGCATCGCTATCATCGCCTCCGGCGATGGGCGTCCAATGGTCCAATGGTGTGTTTAGTGGCAACGTGACCTGATACTACTACATATCTGCTGGATCTGATTTCTCGCAGGCTCCAGCTTGCGTCTGTATGTTAGTCTATTTGTCTGTATGTCTGTTTGTCTGTCTGTCTGTCTGTCTCCGGCAGTTTAATCTCTTTGACTGGGCTTTTTTGCCTTTGCTGGTACATCTTTGGTTGGATATCAAGCCTTTCCTGGATTGCTTGTCTGTGTGTCTATCTGTCTGTCTGTCTGTGTGCCCCGGTATTTGGTTGCGTTATCCAGGTATTTGCACAGAAGAATCCATTCCTTGGCACTGCCCTGGATCAGCTTGGTGAAAGCATGCAGCAGGTACTGGCCTAACACCTATCAGATGTTTTTTTTCTTTCAAAAGTACTGCATCCGTCAGTATTCCACTACTACAACTCCATCCTCCTTCTCTTAAACTGCTATTTTATGCACGTTTGCGCCGTGTACACCGGAGATTTGTAGCATCCAGGGAGACGGCATGAGACTTTAGCGCCATAGTGACAAAGTAATAGGTAGTTCTGCCTGATCCATGGTTTATGCCATCTCAGCTGTTACTTGCTGACCCCAGACACAGCAGCAGGGACCAGCAGTGCCATTAATTATGCCAACATGTCACATTTTACCCTGCCCCAAGGGAGACTGGATAGGCTAGCCCAGGAGTGAAACCCACCTTGTTTAGTACTCCACTCGCTCATATCGCCAGCCCGTATCTGGATCAGTATGTATTTATTCAACATGTCCTGGTTTGTGAAACGACTGCCGATAACAAGTGAATGTGAAATGAAGGGTGATGGCCAACCTTGGAAAACTATCCTAAACAGTGCAAAAAATGCAAACGGTATGAAGATCGAAATAGTGATGGCGACTTCGGCGATGATTTGTTAGGAAAGGGTTTGCTCTCCACATTGGAGCTCGTGCTTTTCCGTCGACTTGACTTGACACTTGACTGACTCACGACTGCCATCCGGAGCACACGAGAAGTCCCCCGAACCATCGACTCGGCAAACGTCCAAGAAAGCGCCACTCCCTTTTTCAATACACAGCGTTTCGGGGAATTCACCCCTCATCAGTTGAGTTCGAGTACGCTGAGGAAGTTTGTAGCTGGAGGGTACTATATAAGTGGCGCTCTTTGGGCTTAATCTTCGGTCTCAGTCTACTCAAGCTCAACTGACGAGGTAAGAAGATGTCGAGAGTAGAAAATAACCCTCGGTTGAAGGAATACAGTGTATGCTAGCAATCCATGCAGTATACCGGCATACGTGTATTGTTTTTGCTTATAATGCTCATAATCGAGTACATGATCTTATAATGAGTGCGCACTCAATTTTACTCATGGCTTTATAATGCTTAGTTGAACTACTATTATTTCCTTGCCTGCTGGTGTGTCATTTTTCTTATTTAGCTGCAGTCGTGGCAAGACATGTTGCACATACAGATTCAAGAAGCCGTGATGCAGCCTTTGAACACGTTCTTCCAGGAAGAGCTCATCAGTACGTCACTATTAGATTTGAAATTTGACCACCGCCTTGTGCTGTAGACTCACAGTGCAAGCACTTTGTTGAGAGTATTGAGAGTTTCAGTTTTTGGAGATTAGTCCATTGCCGGTGGAGCAAGTGGTATTGGTACCCAATATGATAAACGTCTTCAACAAAGATCTCTTATTTCACTGGGCTATGCACTTGCTCAGTTCATGCATGTGACAGTTGATGTTGGGTGGTGGGAAAACCTGGACGTGTACATAATAATTACTTTCAGTGTAACTCACACATGTAGGACTCAGAGACCGCAGCACATTGAGCACGCTCACACCATGCTGACACCAACCCACAGCATTAAGACATCAAGCACGTCTTACTCCTTTCTCATGATGGATCCTTCACTCTGGGTTTTGCTGATAACGACAGTATAAATGGGAGTGTGCTGATTCAAGTCTCAAGAAAACTTGGGGATCATCTAGTTCATCACATTGCCTGTGGTATGTAGTTGGTAGAAGATTGTTTCACTGGTGTGATGCCATTCTATGCCTTGCTCAGATGTGGAGAAGACCAAGGAAACTTATTCTGGAGCCGTTCAAGGTAACATGCGTGCCACACGTTCAAATTTGATGTTTTCGCATCACACAGTGTTGTTCAAACTTACCGTTGGTAACGCTCTGGTGAAACTACTGCAGTGTATAGATAATGCAGACATCCGGGCCGTGGCATAACCCATGAGAGGCACGGGGGGGGGGGGGGGGCTTATCCCCTCCCCCAACCCTTTTTCATTCAGCTTGTGCACGGTGTGGGACCAAATGGCCCGGGAATTGCAGTTCAGTGTCTGCTGTGAAGCCTGAATCGATACACACAGTCCACTTGTAGTGTAGCTAGCTGTGGCTGAATATCTGTAATCTTATACACTGAAATCCACGTGCAAACCCGATGCTCAGACTGCTTCAAGCGTATTTCCACAGTGCACTCCCCTAAAAGGCGGACCAGCTACGCCACTGGATATTTGTGCTGTTGTCAATGCTGCCCGGTGTTGTTTCAGATCATGAGAATGCAATGAGTCGATACAGCCGTGTGTCCAAGAAGAAGGAGACGGAAAAGGTACAGGGTTATAGGCTCAATGATCATGACCAGCTCTTGTTGGTCTTGTGATTAGTAATCCTCGAGGTTACTTGTACGTAAAGAAAGGCACTGCCAAGCAGTGGTTATCATAGCATACATCCTGTGTGTCTCTTGACACAGGTCTTAGGTGTATGGGGGCAAGCTCCAATCATCCCTGCCCCATCAGGGTCGGATACGTCTTCAGTCAAACTGTTCCTGTATGCAAGTCAGGAACTGTGTAGAAGATACCATGAGGAAATAAAAGAAAGGAAGATTGGTTTTTTAACACAGTTGTGAGTCTTTTTCGCTTCAAAGACTGATTTGTACGTGTTACCCTCAGGCTATGTCCAAGTAGAGTTCCATACACCATTGCAATCTACAACCTGTAGTAGTGGACTGCGGTCAGGAGAACAGGGACTGCGGTCAGGAGAACAGGGACTGCGGTCAGGAGAACAGGGACTGCGGTCAGGAGAACAGGGACTGCGGTCAGGAGAACAGGGACTGCGGTCAGGAGAACAGGGACTGCGGTCAGGAGAACAGGGACTGCGGTCAGGAGAACAGGGACTGCGGGGGTCAGGAGAACTCTGTCATGCTTGTGATGCATGATGCACAATACTGCTTTGCTCTTGCCACCTGTCATTTCAACAACTGTTAGGTCCCCCATCTTCCATACATTGCTCACCCACTGTGTACTGCAACCACTCTTATCGTAAAACTTGTGCTAAAGCCCATATGTTCATGTACATGTGCAAATAATAATTGTTCTATTTGAACATGTTTTTACACACAACACAGGGCTAGGCTAGGTTGCTGCTACTCTGGGATTCATGCGTAATATGCAATCATCAGGCAACATAAGGATGCTTGTGGCCATGCCGGTATTTATGCCAGGAGAAATAGAGGTGTGGTCCTTGGTGTGGTGCTATGCACTTGGTGAAACTCACAGAGCGACAAATCAACCTGGCCCTTTGTTGTTCTGTATATTACGCCCTGCCTCCGTGGTATTGAGCTGTGTATTACACCCTGCCTTCGTGGTATTGAGCACTCTCAGTACATTGAGTGTATCCTTCGGTACAACATGTTTTTAATCCTTTAAAAGGTTTTGACTTTTTAGTATACGAAATGCATATGCCACGGGAGATATAATACACCACGTTACCTGTTGATATCATGTACATACAAGTTTTGTTTTTCCGAAAGCTATAAGAACACTGCATCAGATAAAAACAACTGCACTGAAAAAGAGCGATTATGTATGGAATGGCAATCAAATAAATTTTGATGATAGCAAAAAATGCAGTATTCTGAACATCTCAGTCAACTAATGGTTAGCCTGATGGGGATAATCCGTTTGTTCTACTCTCTGATGCACTCTGCACAATCTACAGGTCGTCCAGGTGGGCCTGGAAGCAATTCTGCTTCTTCTTGATGAAGTAGTGCTTCGGATTGCCTTTCCGATTTGTGCAGACGGAACAGACATAAACACTCTTTGCGCTTTTCCTTCCAGCACCTCGGAAGTATGAGTAATCCCGCCTTTTACCAGTGCTGAGAATGCCATGGTGCTTCTTTGGAGACTTGACCGTGCTGGTCGATGGTCCGGGCTTTCGAAGGGGCGCCTTGGTCTTGTCAGTGATACTCACAAGCTGCTGGATAACTGCAGGACGGAAGTCAAGCTGACTGTAATCCTTCGGCATTTTGATGACGCCTGGGTTTCTAGCCGCCCACTGCTGAAAGAGAACCCATGAATTCACCACAGCTACATCCACAAAGCCAAAAAATGGAGTCTTCCAGTACTTGCATGTTTTCCGTAGAGCCCTGTACGTCGCTACGTGCTGGTCCAACAGGTCCACTCCACCCATAGCGAAATTGTAGTCGTGTATCAATTTTGGCGTCTTCAATTCCAGGTCACGCAAGATGTTATTTTCTTTCACCTTCCTTGTAACATTGACATAGTCAGCAGCGCTGTGCATAGTGGATATGACTGTCACCGGACGTTTGTCCATCCATTGTTGGTGAAGGAGGTCTCCACCGCGTACAAACCGCATTTTCCCTCTTTCAGCTCTATGCTGAAACGTTTTCGTATTTTTGAGGACAGCAGGGAAGCCCCGTTGATTGACCTGACAGGTTCCAGCAGCAGCAGTTTTGTGATTTTCAAAGAGGTCAGAGAACAGGTGACTCGCCGGGAGAAGTGTATAACTTATATCCCTGGCCGGACAGAGGTGGAAGGAGTTCTGTAACAATATTGTGTGCCAAGCCATGCTCCATTTGGCCGGCATGTTCACGGCCAGTGTAGATTTTGAAGTTATAAAGATAGTGCAGGGCACTGTCGCAAAGGGCAAACACTTTGAAACCAAAGCGAACAGGCTTGGTTGAGATGTACTGCTTGAATGCGAAGCGTGCTTTTGACTTGACCATCCGTTCATCGATCGCAATACTTTGGAAAGGCTGAAAAGGTTCCCGGCTCTTCTGCTGGAAATGATCATTCACCAAGCGGACTTTCCGCGTAGCTTGTCAGCCGCATCCTCAGTAGTAGGGTCGACAATGTGGAGGAAACACAGCAGAGCTTTGTAGCGAATAAAGGTCGGGATCATATGCCGTGCCCATAGCCCATGAAAGAGAGTAGATGTGCTCCAGTAGTGAGATAAATGTGGCAGTCGAGCAATACCCATGTAAATTGTCAGGCCAAGTAGAGCATAAATTTCCGCTGTGTCCGTGGGCTTCCAAGCGCCAATGTCATCTTGATAGGACGGTTTTTCCAGGATGTGGATACCAGCATTATCATTAGTGAACTCCACAATAGCTTGAACAATGCCAAGTGTGAAAACAAGTTGAAAGAAATCCAACTCCTTCACAGGCGCAAAATCAGCTGGGAAATGGCAGCCAGGTTCACGGGCAGGACGAAACTCAGGCTGGTCAGGACACTCATCATCACTATCCCAGTCGCCGACATTGTCTTCGTCCTGCACAGGAGCGGTTACGGCACCTCCGCGTACAACTCTTCCACGTCCATCGCCTGCTGTGCCAACTCCGCCACGAGGAGCACGCGGAGCTCGAGTTCGTCCTCTCTGCCGTGTGGGAGCTCTGCTCTCGCGTCGCGGGCGCGCCTCGTCCTCTTCACTTGAATCAGCTGATGTGTCATTCGTGTCAGCTGAGGAGCGTGACAACCCAGCTGAAAGCGGTTCTTCTGAAGCTTCTTCTCCGCCATCATCAGCGCTGCCGTCAGAGACCAAATCTTCAACTGGATGGTCGTAGATGAGAGCATCGTCTAGCTCTTCGCTTGATGGCAGGCCACCTGACGACTCGCCATCAGAGTCTTTATCGTGCACGGCGGATCCAGCAAGCGCTTCGTCAACAGATAAATTCTTGTGCGCCATGGCGGAAGCTTTCGAACACTTCCTGTGGCCCAGTACAAAAAAATCAAAATGTAAACCCGTGCCATGTGTGCACTCAAGCGAAACGCGGAGGTGTCAGACAGACTTGGCCATCGGGGCAGCTTCGAAGCACCAGCGAGTACGAATGCTTTACCAGTAGACCACTATTTCAGTCCATATTTGCTTCTTTCTTCTTTTCCTTTTCTTTCTGACTTCTTACTCTTTTCCTTGTTATCTGTGGTTGGCTATAAAAACCCTGCAATCGCCACGCAAAGTGGTCATTGGCTACCCCAGCCATGTATTGCTTGGAATATATAAAAATAAAATAAATCCCGCATAGTTCTAAGTACGTCAGTCAAATCGGTCGTTTTCGACCGGTTCATGTATGTGTGAAACTCTAAAGGGTTAAACTGAAATAGCCTACTTTTCACTTTGTGCTCGCTTGGCCTTGCTCTCTTTCTCTCTCTCTCACTCTCTCTCTCCCTCTCTCTCTCTCTCTCTCTCTCTCTCTCTCTCTCTCTCTCTCTCTCTCTCTCTCTCTCTCTCTCTCTCTCTCTCTCTCTCTCTCTCTCTCTCTCTCTATCTCTATCTATCTATCTCTATCTCTCTCTCCCTATCTATCTATCTCTCTATCTATCTCACTCTCTGTGTTGTTTGTTTTAGAATCGCTTTGAAGCTAACGCTGACCTGTACACCGCCCGGAAGAAGTATCACCAGGTATGTTCATAGTACCGGTACTGGACTGCTTGTACATGTATACTATCCTAGCATGGATACTAGAACTGTGCATATGTACATACTATCCTAACATGGATACTAGAACTGTGCATATGTACATACTATCCTAACATGGATACTAGAACTGTGCATATGTACATACTATCCTAACATGGATACTAGAACTGTGCATATGTACATGCATGTCACTTAATTAAGTGTGGCCCTTTGGTCTTCACGGCGACCGACAGTAAAACCAGCATAACTTTGGAGTTCCTGCCCAGACTTCAATCAAATTTTCTGGAGGGTTGGTAGAGATCAAAATGGTCTGTCATCATAGTAAAACATTGACTTACAAGACATTTTTGAATAATATCTTCGGACTGATGTTAGATTATTAGTGGAATAAATCATCTCTGAATGCACAGATTGAGATAAGTGGACTACTTGGTTGATTGATAGAACTTGTATTTCTGGTAGAATATATGTAACAATCTTTTTCACATTCACGCAGTATTTATTGGAACAAATTCATATTCTGTGATGATGATGGTCAGCTAGTGTCGGTGAAACGTTGCCAGTTTGAGTCTTAAATTGATGTTGGATAAGAGATAGAGTGAATGCATAAACCTACGTGACTAAAAGAGAGAACACTAAAGTCTTCTTGAAGTGGAAGTCAAGAAGTATGGGTAATGTCGCGGATTATGGGCTGCTGAAAGTTCGTTAGCCAGGAGCACACTTGAAATATTTGCTCTGCGACATGCAACATCGAAATGCTCATTTCACCTTGTAGAATTTCAAATTCTTTTATCCTGGCAATTGCTCGCTCCACATGGATGCGGCGGTTCGCAATCCTCCTCGTCCTTGTTACTTCTGCTGCTGGTAGTTGTGTGCGCTTCGCACCGAGAAATGATGGCATGATCAGCTGCACATCTACTTTCTTCAGCTCTTCCGCAACCAAAAACCCTCTGTCAGCCATTACTGCCTGCCCGGGTTTCAGCAACTTCATCAGGCCCGAGTTCAGCGTGATTTTCTTATCGCTGGCTCGCCCACCCCAAGCCTTCGAAACGAACAGTACAGCTGCGCTGGGGCTGATGCCAACAAGAAACTTCAACGTGTTATGCTGCTTGTACTTTGTAGGAAGAAAAAAGTTTTTTTCTGGTTTGCAGGCCACTTGGTCTTCTTGTAAATATCTCCGTACAGTCAATGATAGTGCGTGTGTTCGGGTATCACTTAAATGAGGTAGCCAGGACGCGAGGATGGGTTTCCGGGAACGGATGGAGGGCAGCGAGCCCGTACGCCAAGAAACTTATCCATGTTGTGAGCATTATGGACACACTTGACTCATGCACTCCCAGGCGATGCGCAAGCTCCAGTTTGCTCACATTCCTCCGAAGTCTCACAAGCACATAAAAAAACTGATCTTCATAGCCAATCTTTGGCGATTGCGCACGAGCTGATGACCGTCGCTGAGGACCAGTGGCATGAAATTGTCTAAGGGTAGAAAGGCCGCGCCAAGTTTGCATCCTCTTGGCTTTGGGTTCGAGGTAGTTGAACAGGGCAGAGAACACTGCGTAGTTAGGCAGCCCGGTGAAGTGCCTGAACTTGTCCGGATTGTTTCTGATGCTGGCTAAATCGATCGTACGACACTTCAGGCTCTCGTACTCTTTTTTAATTTCACTGAAGTCTTTTTCTAGGCCAGCCATGTGATCATCAACTTCACTCAGGTCACTTACACTGATATATCTGTGATCACTGATATATCTGTGGTCTACTGGGGTCGGTGCTGGGTCAACAGCCGAACAGACACCAGACACAACAGAAACGACCCCGGCATCATCAATCTTGTGGCTCCTCAGACTCTTGACGTTTTCTCTTCAGAACTCGTCGCGCTGGTTTAGGAGTTGCCGTCCACTGGAACTGTGTTGGCATAGCGGTGGGGTTGAGCCTTTTTCTTTACTTTCTGGCTCCTCACCAGACAGGAGCTTACCGACGTCAACGTAATCATCTTCTTTGAAATGAGAGCTGCAACCTCTGGTCTTTGATGTGATCTTGAAATTTGATCCCACATCCCTCCTAATTGCAATTTGCCATAACTTGCACCTCTCTGCATCACTGGGAAAGCGATGAAATGCAAGTGACTTATCTAAAGACCGATTACTGCAGATCGGAACAGCGCAGTAGTAGCCCCTGCCTGAAGTTCTTTTCCGCTTCTTGGCGGGTTGGCTGTCAGTGCCAGATTCCACTGGGGCTGACCCCACCGACACTGAAGGCAAAGAATTGCTTCTTGCAACACCAACACTAGCTGCAGCGACAATTTGTTCGACTGGAACCGGTTCAGGAATGGTTTCAGCTACTGCTTGCACTGGAGACGCCAGCGCCAACCGGGCTGAAGCAGCGACACTGGCAGGAGCATCGGCACTCTGCACAGCGCTGGTTTCGAGTTCCACTTGCACATCGAGCCACTCGAAATAATCCGGAGCGACGTGCCTGGGAAGATCGTAACCCTCTGCTCGCCTCCGCTGGAACAGAGCGACTTGATCCGCAGTCCAGGTTCTCTCAAGTTCTTTTTCCATTTCTCACGACTACTCTCGGCTGATCAACTCCAAATCGCTCTACAGTATCTCAAAGACTCAAAGCCTCCAGCAACAAAGACAAAGCAAAACAAAATTTTTCAGGAAAGCACAGCAGGAAGACGTGTCGTGGGCTGCGATGACAGCGCGAGCGCTCAGGCGCAGCCATCCAACGCCACTTTGCACCATGGCAACGCATCTTCGGCAATGAGTGTATTGCTGGTGCTGACTTGGCTGTGTTGACCTGACACACATGCGCTGCTATCCTGTCATCGTAATCCTGCTGGGAAAGTTGCCCCTGTATCTCCATTGACCTGTATTTTGTGCAGGGAAAGCAGTAGCGGGAGAGCATCTCGTAATCTAAGATCTTGCCAGTGTCCCATGAAATGGCAATGAAAGTGCCATGTAGTAGCGATATCAGACGAAAAATCTAACTTGAAACCAGAGGAATGAGTGATATACCAATTGAATCAGTATCCAAAACGCTCCGTCCTGGTCAAATTTTAGGTGAATCCAAGCTATGGAAGCGGTATTTATACGCGCTCGAAGTAGGATGACAGGCACCCGCCATTGTCGTGCTGAGGGATGCACCACTGCACACAAACAGCAAGATGCGATGGCACAAAAGCCGTCAACTTGCCCAGTGCGTCATGAGCGGTTGCCATGGGGAACAAAGTGCAGAGCTGAGGGAAAGTGCAAAAATTACGACGAATCCATACTCCAAGCAACAAAATTAATTAGTTCGTCTCGCCGGCACGGTGACTTCATGTGCACCATCTAATGACATGGCGTCCTTTCATGCGGTTTACCGCACGGATTTATGAAGTCAGACATATTCCGATTTATTTGCATCAATCGCACAAAATTAGGTACATTTCTCTTGTAAACCCTGTCAGTTTGAGAATTTAGACAAACACCGAACAAATTTTAGCCGCGACGAGGATCGGGAGGAATCCATCATTATTATTTACATAGCTACTACCATCACGTCGACCGAGTGAAGATCGAAATGATAATGGAGTGGAGAGAAGAAGACCTGAACTAGAGTGCTTGAGAGACTATGTAGTGTCACATGAGAATTGCTTCGTTAGGAAGGCTCTTTTTTTGAATGGAGAAGCCCAACGTCGCTGATTTGCATCGCCGTTTTCAAGCGCTGATCTGCAGTCGGAATGTTTTTGTAAATTATTCGTAGTTGTGGACGTGGATGGATTCAGCGCTCTGTTCTCTCAGCAAGCCTACTCAGTCCAACACGAAGGACTTCCATGAGCGAAACAACGTGCTCCTCGAGCAAGTGCAGCTCGGGGTAATATGGCCAATGCCACGGGAGACCACCTCGTGCCTGCATAAGGCCAAGAATTGATGGCAAGACATCTTTGATGAGTGCCTTCGACTTCAAGGACGCAATATATCTCCTCAGCAGTAACTGCAGCGCTCTTGCTGAAAATATCACTGCAAGCATGCACTAGGCATGATTTAGTGAAGAGCTACTTGTACTAGCGATTGGAGATTTGGTGTTGGCTTCCAGGGCTGGGCATATCTGCTCCATCATGGTAACTGGTGCGTTTGTCAAGGCAGTGCAGTTTCTGCTGCTGTTTCACAAGCCATATGCGCATATGCGCAGTGAGTAGGAATTTGTTGTATGATAGCTGAGGATCACCAGCCTTCATGGACAAACCTATATTGGGACTGGTTGCTGAACAGTGCACACCTAAATCTCTCAGCAAGCTCTCTTGCTCAGCTGGTGACGAACACTATATACCCGCTGCTTTGGGCTTGCAGCCCCGTCTCCCGACCGTAGACCGATCGAAAGGCTGTCACGGTCCTGTGACCATCGGCGTACAGTTGACGCTGATGGGGCATCGGATAAAGTGCTGGCGTCAGTAATTGTCTGGTATACCTGGAATCTACATCTACAGCTGGTTTTGACTTCCAGCCATCCTTCGTTAGTTATGCTTGTGACTATCATGCCAGCAAGTCGATCAGCAGCATCACCTCGCATCTTTGATGGTGAGGCCTGCAAAACGTCACCGACCAGTGACGATGCTCAAAAGGGCACCCTACCAGAGCTGGCGCAGTGTATGGTGCAGTCTTTCATGAATCCATGAACTATGCTGTTTGGCTGCTGTAGCTCTGACGCTTGCGTGTGTGCCTTACATTAAGGGCAGCGGGCCGTCTGCTCTAGCCATTTGCCAATGCATGCACGGCTGAACGTCTACCAGCAAGCTGCAAACACTTCTCTCCCTACCACACTGTGACATAGTGGACATTGTGCGTGTGTTGTTGCATTCCTATCTGAACTGAACTGTTCTGGATGCAGAGATTTACCCACTAAGCCCTAGAGAAATATGAATAAATACTATACTACTACTATTACTAAACTTGGTATGCGGGTGTGACGCGCTGCTGCTCATCAGATTCGGTCCATGCGACGCTCGTGTTTTTAGTTTTGTTATTTTGTCTGCCTTTTTTGAATTCGTAAACCGAACAGACTAAACTATCCAGTGATCAGGTACTGGTGTGGTGGGGCGAGGTTTTGTTGGTGATGCTGCTGTCAGTGGTGGCGGCGTGCATGTGCTCGTGCTTGCGGGCGATGGCCCGCGTTTTCTCCCATGCCGCAAGTTTGTCTTGCGTTTGTGTTCTGCATTTGGACTTCCTGCCAGGCTTGGGCTTGCATTTCAAACAGTTTGTCCCACTGTGTGGCTCCCAGTCTTTGAGCGGTGTACATCCACTTCTAGAGCTCCAGAGAATGTTGGGCCCCTGGCAGTAACAGTGCATTCCATGGCCAATTTTCAAGTGTGGCAAAAATGTTCAGGGTGTATTTGGTTTCATCCACATTGAGATGAAACACTGCCAAAATGGATTCAGTATGATCTGCCACACGATACTTCGTCTGTCCACTCCTTGACGCGAATTTCTCCCCTCCAATACGACAACACGACGACAGGAAGCTAACATGAGCCTCCATTTCTGAACAAAATTACGTCTCTAACATGGCCACGAAAAGCTACAGTTATGCACGTCAAGCTTAGGACTACACGAAATCGAAAGGCTAGGACATCGAGGTATACTAGAAAATTGTCTGCGAGGCGGAGAAAATTCGCTGACGAGGTTGGCGAGCCCTTGAAATCGAGCGACGATCCAAAAATAATTGCACCCACGTCGAGAAAGAAACCATGCGTAGCGCGTGGGTAACCCAAGAAGATCGCTCGAGCGGCGGCACAGTCGAAGGCAAGGCCAGTCCAAGCTCTAAACTCTATCGAATGACCTGGCAAACACCCGTGGTTTTGGTTGACCTTGCCCGTTTGAGATGGAAGTCGAGCGAAATTGCAAACATACGACTAGGCCAGATCGCGTAAAAAATGAAAAAGATTAAAATTTGGCCGCCATATTTAATGAACGCGCATCGCATGCATGGGACAGCCGTGCGCCATGGACGGCAAAGGACAACACCTTGTCGGAATCAAGCATTTTTGTTTCTCTATTGCAAAGCTACTAATGTAGTATCGAACAACTACGCCAGTGAGAATCCAGGAACATTGGGACGTGTTTTGTACAGTTATTTTCATCTTTCACCTTGCTCTGTTCCAAGACCAGTCCATTCGATATCGTGTCGATTTGGTTTACCTCGAGCTGCTTAGCCAGAGATGATCCAACGCACAAATCACGTTGTTCCTCTGGGCCTCTCATCAGAACTGAAACCACTACTTGAACACGCACGTAGACCACTCATATGTACCCTGTTCACATAGGTGCGCACAAAAAGATCAAATAACTATGGTGCGCAAGCAAGCACGGCGACCAAACTTTGCAAGAAACTAAATTCAAGGACGCTGAAGACGATGGTGAGCGAATCCAAGGCGTGCAACGATGCGCAGGGACCGAAAAAGCCAAACGAAAATAACCTACTTTGGCTCAACAGCAGCTTCGCGAAAACACAACGCAGATTGCTAGTTCAAACTCTGAACAGTGGCTTTCTCTTTGCTCTTCGCCTTCTTCCTCTCCAAACATTTCAAAAACAAGCTTGGGCTACTGTACGAGGCCATGGAAGTATGCTGCTTGCACGCCCACGCGATTTTTTCAGCCTAGTGCAGGATCATGGTCGTGTGCCACGCGTGACTGTAGCTGCTATGGTCAGTCCTGCGACACGATTTTAGGGCGATTACGTAACCACTCTGACATCTCTACATATAGCGAGGCATACCCGCAGCTGCCATCATACGACACTGCATTGGAACACACCTCGGCTTCGCTGGCGTCCGTAATTTCTTTTGCAGCAGCACCCATACTCCTCTCAGCCACAGCCTTTGACGACACTGCCAATGCGTTGTGATGGCCATAAAATGCAGACAAGCTCATTGGGTGAGGCATGTCCAAAGCAGCGCAGAATTTTACCATCGACTCATGGCCTCATCAAATCCACCTCATTGCAAAAAACACCTCCTGTTCACGCTCCACGCTTGAGACTGCCTTCATGACGATCGGTCCTGCCGCTTCAGTCTCACATGTTGCACACGACAAAGCTAATGTTGATGCTAGGCCGTCGCGTTTGACTTCTGATAGCCTGACGGGTTAGTGACACACATTGCATGACACAGCGATGTCCAACAGCTGCTGCAGGCACTGCAGATCAACTAGACGCGTCCCAGAAGTGTTCAAATCGTCCTCATCGCCAGACTCATCAGTAGAATGCTCGTCAGAGCTACTGCCAGCGCTTTCCTCATTGCTTGAGGACTCGCCATTATCATCACCAACGTCAGCAAATTGCTCAAAAATGTCACGAATTTTATCATCAGATGAGCTGGACGAACTGGGTGGACTGGACGCTTGAGGGTCTTCAGGAATCAGGGGCCTTTGATTGCTTCTGCCACTGATTTGCATGAAATATCCTCTTCCTAGACCGTCCAGGACGGCCTTTGAATTGCTTCTTTCCCATTTCTACTTCACTGGATACTCTGTATGATGAAAATTCAAATTTGAATTTAAAATATTGAGCAAAAAACACAGTGTGCACATGCGCAATGTTACTCTGGCAACGGCACTCTCATCCGCGTTCAGCACTGAGAACTCCAGAAAATTTGAAGCAATTCGGATGAATTTGGCTGGGATAGGCTGGTTTATGCGGAGAAATGTAGAAATTGTAATTGCTTCGAAAGTAGGCAAATTCAATACTGTACTATGCTGACATTCGAATGCCAATATCTCTAGAACGGCTTGTGCTATCTCCATAAAATGTTCTGAGTGTGTATACCGTAAAGTCGCGGATAAAAGCCGGGTTTGCATACAAGCACATCGCGGATAGAAGCCTGAAAATCAAACGGGTCAAATGCGTATAAGCCTGTCGCGCGTAGAAGCCTGGCTTCTATGCAAGCGCGGATCGGGTAGGTCAAGAGTGCATGCGCTATGTACAGTGCATAGTAAAACTGCCGCCATACCGGTAGTCAGTGGTAGATATACGCGTGTCGCGCGTAGAAGCCTGGCTTCTATGCAAGCCCGGATCGGCCGATGTGCATACAAGCCTGGCGAAAATATCAGTGGTGCATATAAGCATGGTTTGCATACAAGCCTGGTTTGCATTGAAGCCTGATGCAGAAAGCGGCTTATGTGCTTATAAGCCCGGCTTTTATCCGCGACTTTACGGTATGGGTCACTGTCGGATGTTTTGGCACTGTCAAAATATGCCATTTATGAAAATCGATTATTAGCAAATTCTGCACCCCTCTCTAGACCAGAGGGCCACCTAAGGTACACTGCGACCATGTTGTTTGGCCATCTCCTCTGGCTGACCGCATCTTTCCCTGTGTGATGAGCAGGCACACCATAGTAGAAGGGTGCTATGTGCTTTCAGAGATTTGTGAAAATGGAAGAGTTACAGTGGTGGCAGGCAAAACACAGTCTCATGCATGTACCGTTCTCTCACCGCACGGCATCTGTAGTGCCAGGGCTGTGCAATCATATTGTTAAAATGGCCCAAGCTGTCTGATGATCGTATCGTAAATTTGTTTGGACTTGAAATAAAACTGGCGTTGTCCCGTGCCTAGTGCATCTCTGTAGTGTGTACAGCCTTCAGACGAACACGATATTTTTGCGGCTGCTTCCTCCGCTGCTGTTGCTGCTACCTCCGCTTCTGTATTTATGCTTGTGTATGTGTGTGCTCCTGTCTTGTTCAGGTTGCCATGCAGTACTACAGCACACTGAACCTGTTGCAGAGCAAGCAATCGTACAGTGTTCTCGACCCACTAATCAACCTCATGCATGCACAGGTAAGAGCCAGCGGAGATGCCTGTATACCGCTCAGTAACTCTGTCTCTCTCTCTCTCTCCTCTCTCTCTCTCTCTCTCTCTCTCTCTCTCTCTCTCTCTCTCTCTCTCTCTCTCTCTCTCTCTCTCTCTCTCTCTCTCTCACACACACACACACACACACACACACACACACACACACACACACACACACACACACACACACACACACACACACACACTCTCTCTCTCTCTCTCTCTCTTATGCTAATGAACAGACTACTGATCATACATGTAGTGAAAATATAAATAATAATTTTTTTTACGGTTCGCGTGAGACTCGGCTGGAAGCCGAGCCGAGTTTTCCGCATCCGCCGTGGGAACGTCACCACCCTCTAGGATCAAGGCGCAGATGCAGCGCCTAAACGGTGGGAGGTGAGTAGATCAGACCTACCACCAAGTGGTCAAACACCGAAATCCCATTAGCTGCATCCATGTTACCCTCGTGCCAGGCCACGAGTTCCCAATTAACTGTGGGTTGCAGCGCGGCTGGAAAAAATCCAGTAGTGAAAAAAGGATGCATAATATTTTTAACGTTTACATGTCATGTGGTAGCAATCTTTGGCAGAGACACTACTGTCACTAGTCTAGCATTCTGCCCTCCTATACCGGGGCCGTAGTACAGCTGCTCTGGCCGTCCACAACGGAACATGCAGATCTAGTGTTGAAAGCCAGGCAGTCCTAGGTTGAAAGAATGTTCATTTCCGGTGAGGTACAAATCCTATTTGCCTGACCTGCTGACATTTTCTGACCTTGATTTCTAAGAGCTCAGCATTAGGGAATCTTGAAAGTATACAATTAATTGTTTCCGGTGATTTGTGATTATGCCCAGCTCTCCTACTTCAAGATGGGTCATGAGATTCTGACAGAAGAAGTAGCCAAATTCCTGACTACACTCAGCGTACAAGCACAGAAGTAAGCTTCTCTAGGTCTAGCCAGCAGATCATAACCTTGCATACTGTAACGCCAGATATTTTAACGTCAATTAAAGTTAATGATCTACGGATTTTGTGGGTTAGCGAGGTGAAATTCTAACGAATTCTGTCTCAAAACCGGCAAATGACTGTACATGTACATATCGTTTTGCTCATAATGACTTCAAATGTTAACGTTTCTTTTAAATTCGTCAACTCGTTAGAATTAAATGTTTGTTAACGTTATAGCGTGTTCGGCGATGACATCATCGCGTAACGGTCATTTTCAAACCTAATGGGTGTCCTTGACATGGCTCGAGTTGGAGAAGAAGCCTAAGTGGTTTGATTTTGTTTGATAGGTTGGTCGTATTTTGACAGCGTGCTGTAGTTCTGCGTGGATCTGTATCCTGTACAAGCCTGTCGACAGTATGCCTCATCACTGATGTGTCCCCCAGTGTGTTTCCAACAGCGGAAAACCTGGAGACGACTTAGTCGCATTCCACAGTTTCCTGACGACAAAGACCTGAGAAAGCATTGGATCGCCAACATTCATAGAGACGTAGGAGCCGCTTTCACCATCACGAAGCACACGAAAGTGTGTTCTCGGCACTTTGTGGATGAGGTATATCACGCAGGAGCACACAAGCGACCGTCCGAGCAGAAGAAGTCACAACAGACTCGCCGAAGGCTTCTGCCAACTGCCGTACCTACGATTTTCGATTTTCGCCCTGAAGTGACTAAGCGCAAGCCACCAGCAGAAAGACACGCGCTGCCCTCGGCAAAGAAGCCAAAGCCATCAGCTCAAGGCGCCTCCAGTGTCATCACCCAGTCTGCAACTGCCACTGACGTTGTCCCTTCTGCAGATGACTCCCCAGACGTATATGTAGTACCAGTTGAACACCAGCACTGTGAATGTGTTGAAATGCTTAGAGCAGAAGTGGATTTGCTCAAGAATGAGAACGAGGTCCTCAAAAGTCGTTCCTTGGCCACAGAGGACATGGAAGCCAAGTTAAATACTGCAGAGAGACATGTGTTCTCTATCCACAGAGTAAAACAATAACCAGAAATTGTTGTCTTTCTACACTGGATTTTCATCGTTCCTTATGTTCATGGCGTTCTTCAACTTTCTGCACGATTCCGCCAAGGTGATGCGGACGTGGATGGGTTCACGGACGGCACCTGATGATGCGATGCAACATGGCAGCAAACCAGGCAGTACACCGAATCTAGAGCTGATGGAGCAGTTATTTCTCGTCCTCGTCCGTCTTCGTCTTGGACTGAAAGAAGTTGACCTTGCCGACCGGTTTAAACTCCACCCATCCACTGTCTCGCGCACTGTCACAACTTGGGTAAATTTAATGTACCATAAGTTTCGCCAACTTCCATCTTGGCTTCCAAGGAGAAGAATGGACAAATTGATGCCACCTGCACTCAAGCAATGGTATGCAACAACTCGCGTTGTGATTGACTGCACAGAGTTTTCATAAACATCTCATCATCGCTGGCGCGGCAAAGTGCTACGTGGTCGGCGTACAAGAACCACAACACGGTAAAAATGCCTTATCGGCATTGCACCGCATGGCCATGTGACAATTGTTTCGAAAGTATTCGAAGTATCTGTGTCGGATAGTGCCATCAAAGAACAGAGCGGACTGATCAGTTTATTAGAGCATGACGATTCCATTATGGCAGACAAAGATTTTGACATACAAGATCTTCTTGTTAGCCATGGGGTCCGCCTGCACATGTGCAGGGAGCGCTGATCACCTTCAAGGCAGATGGCGTAAACGTCTACTGACGGTGTACGGGTACGCCGCTGGAGAGAGGGCGGTGGGAGCATAGGACTGGAGGTCGTGACTTGTGACGTAGCGGCAGATCCATGCAACACAGTACTGCGGGCTTGAGTCGTGACTTGTGACGTAGCGGCAGATCCATGCAACACAGTACTGCGGGCTTGAGTCGTGACTTGTGACGTAGCGGCAGATCCATGCAACACAGTACTGCGGGCTTGAGCCGGTGAACTGGCAGCTGCTAGTGATGACTCCTGTGTTTAGGTGGCAGTGATCCGGCCATGGTATCCAGGTCATCGAGTATGGCATTCTCTGGTTGGACACAGCCAGTTTCAATGAAGAGAGCTGGAAGTAGAGGCTTGAAATAGAAACTTTCCAGTTTGCCAAGGTAACGCTCTGCAAACTGCTCTTCATGTTTCAACCTCTGAGTAAACATTTCTTGAGGAGTCCAAACAACAAAATCAGCCCATTCACACTCCGTGTTAAGGAGCTGGAACTGCACCTGGAAGTGGTATTGGTGCGACTGCTTCAGGGACAGCTCTGCACCATCATGGTTCAGGAAGAATGATTTCTTCTGTGCTGCATCAGACAAGGAGACAGACCGGCAGCTGTACGGGCACTTCACTTCCAGGACTCCACGGCCAGCAGTGGGATCAGGCAAGATACCATCAGGAGATGTAGCTAGCCACGGGGTTTTGAGGCTGACCATTAAACCAGAACAAGCGAATGAGAAGTTGGGTGATTCAGCGTTCTTTTTCCCAAGTACTGCTTGATAGCCAGTGGTTCACTCCTTGTACCATTGCGGGTTGCCAAGTTGCCACGGAACTCACTGCAGAGTTTCTGCCGAACCACTGACTGGAAATCATCCGTGCGGCGACGGACAATGACCTTACACATAGTGGCAGTCACCCTTTTTCGCCGCTCTTCAAACCAACGTGAGCATCCACTCTGTTTACACTTGTAAATTGCATCTTCTTTCATTGATGGTAGCACTTTACCTCGAACAAATGAAAAATTCTCTTGCGTCACAAGTTCAATCTTCTGAACATGGCCATCCTTGAAGAACTTGTAGCCCTTATCTACACCTTTGAACGATGAGAACACGTCACTGTGACTGCCGCTTCCGCTAGACAATGACTCGGCATCAACTGGAGACGTTGATACAGCAACGTCCATGGACTGCCTGGCTGCTACCAGTACAGACTTCTCGATAAAGTGGTTGTACAACGAGGCAAAGCTGACCATAGCCAGCAATCGCATGTCACCACGTACTTTGAAAATCAACATAATTTTTCGAATCGACCTTTTTTTCCGGATCACTTTTCAACGAGGACGAAGCAAAGTCGGCCGAACGAAGCCTAGAGGAAGAAAATCACCCTCTCCACTTCACCATCACGATACTGACATAGATACGAGATGAAACAACTAAAAAATCCACAAGAAAACTGTACGGCCATCATCGCGCTGACTTTGGTCTGACTTTGGTCTGAGAATTTCTATCACGATCAAAATTGTACGAGGAGCACTCAAAAATAAGCCACAGACGTACCTTTATCGCTCTCTACTCCTTTTTCAAGGCACAAAAGTCGAGTCTCCACTTTCAAACCAGGAACCAAACATACCAGTGGTCCTTTTCAGCTGCTCCACGAGCGCAGGAAAGGTTCACCAAGGGGCGCAGAGCAGCATCCATTCCAGAAAAAGAGCTAAAATACGAGTGAGACTGCATGACTGAGTACATGAGTACATGTATGAGTACATGCAGAAAATAGTCAATTTCAGCGTTTCTGCTCCAAACAGCAACTAGCTTCGCCTAGAAACAAAGATTACACCAAAGGATCAAACAACAACCATTTTCTGCAGTTTTTTTGCAGATGGCTTCCTTGTCCTCGGCCCAGCACGCCAAAAATCACACCTCGGAGGAGTACAAAAATTACAACTCTCAGATGTCCTCGATTGCTGGCCATGTGGTTAGGAGCTGTTTAAAGCTGCACTGCCAACCCGACTCTGGAAAGGTAACAGAACTATCAAGATTTACGGCTGGTATCTTGCCTGAGTCTGCATCCTGCTCAAGTCGGCGCCGCTTGCGCTCCATATTGGAACCATTGTCTGGATCGATAATTTTTTTGTCCAATCCTTCCTTGACATAGTCTTCAACCCTGTTACACCAAGAGAGACATGAAGAAAAGAGAAATGCAATTCGTAGTAAGTCTTAGGGCTGAGTTGCTCGATTGATAACAGCAAACGAAAGGTCGCCGGGAAACAAAATTATTATCCTGATTATTATACTAATGCTCAATTTCTTTGACAAGTTGCTTCATATAATCAGCTCATGCCGTCCAATAAAACTGCCTTAGTATGCAATATTAAATTATAGTAGAAAAAACCTTCAGTCATTTGCGTGTTCTAAAAAACAGGTAATATTTCTGGTAATCACTCATATAAAAAACCTGGTGCTGTAAAAACCTGTTTAAAAATACCTGGTGCTGTAAAAACCACTTTTAGGAAAATGACTGGAGGTTTTCTATGCTACAATTCAGTTAAATAGAATATAAGCTTCGCCCTCGTGTTTACGGGGAAAAAAAACCTCGGCAAAAAACCTCGGCTTCGCCTCGGTTTTTTGCCTCGGGTTTTTATTTCCCGTAAACCGGCACTCGGGACTCAGCTTATATTCTATACTGACAAAGCTTCTCCACAGTTCTCCACAGTGACAAGTAAAATAAATAAATGCTGTACCCTGCAGAGCACCAGAGTCGAACATCGTCGATGGCTTTCTCAAATTTTGTATTATGAACAGCCAATAATAATCAATATTCACAAGGAATATCCATGTGGATCGAAGGGCTACAATATGTATTTCGAAATAAATCTCACGAAATGTCAGTATCAGAAACTCACCTTTTCACAAGCTCCGCATGCTTTCCACGACGAGACGCACCACGGCACGCCAGCCACCTTTTTAACTCTGGTACTTGCAGATCCCTTGGCTTACGACCACTCAGAGAAGCACCGGGAACGTCTGCTTCGACTAAAGAGTACAGGTCCTCCATTCTTCCACCGATGACACTCGACTGGTTCAAGAAGTACAATTGTGACTTTGGACAGCCATCGGTGCTCCAAATCAGTCAAAAAGCGCGACTTCCACGGCTCCAGCTCATAACCTACACAGCTTCACCACTAAAAAAGGACAACAGAGGTGGCGAAAGCTACAGAACATGGCTCCGCCAAGAGCCAAAGAACCGAATAGCCATAAAATATTCTGCAAAACCATCTAAAGTAATACAATCGCCTAATGGCCAAGATTCGTCAACACCCATTAGGTTCAAATGTTTCCGTTACGCGTGTCCAATGGCGTAATGTGCAAAAGGACTATTGATCTTACAGTAATGGATTCATGCATGCTACCAGTGATCAGCTCTGTAAGCCAACCAGACAAATGTGATACGGTCATCTGGCTTGAATCTTGTGAACACCAACCTCTACACTAAGCGTCTTGTTTTATCTAGTGGCACAGTGAAAATAGTCTTCAATGACTTACTGCTGCCAGTAAATACTCATTCACCTGCTATAAGACATAATCCAGGAGACCCGCTAAATAAGCCCTTCGGGATTACTTTGTATAAATGAATAGAGATCTAGAAAAACAAGAGCAATCAAGGCTTGTTTGCTGCTACTCAAGGTTCATGCTTTCGAAATCTTCAGGGAACATGAGGATGGGGTACTGACCATGCCGGTAAATATGCCAGGAGAGGGTGGGTCTTGTAGCGCAGTATGACAAGCTGTGTGTGAATGTGTGGGGGGGGGGGAATACATATTGCTGACATGGTGCTGGTAGATGCACGGTGATGTGCTGGTGACACCGAAGTAAATCTATTCTTCTTGCGGTTCCTGGCAGCAAATGTGTCTCTGTTGCTCTTTGTGATGTGTGATGCTTCTGTTGCTGTTTTTGTAGGGATCGTTCTGAGCACAACATTGAGAACAGGAAGTTGAGCAGCCTGAGAGAGAAGATTGAGCAGGAGTACTCATCTCGCTACAACCCTGATCCCGATCCTAGTGGTGAGATTGATCAGAACATGATTGCGGTGTGCCCATTGACCAGTCCACGTGACAATTTATTAGCTTGAGGGAGTTCCCCCCGATCTGATAGCTAATGGGATTATTGACTGAATCAAATTTAATTTATAACATTCTTCTCCAAATCTGATCAATCCTTGTATACAGTGTGATGATGCCGATCTTGTTTATGTGTGGTCATGTATGTTTTTGTTCATTGTTGCAGATCCCTTCTCCGATGTTCAACCTGCCGACAGGTCACTGAAGGAGAAGGCTGGCTATCTCTACACCAAGAAGTAAGTCTGATAAAACCTCCTTGACCCTTCCGTTGCCTTTGACTCCAACACATGTAGCGAGGCACTCCGCTCTGCTGCTTGGCTTTACGGCCGCATTGCTCAATGTAACATCCATCTCAGTGCTTTAGTAGAGCTTTGTACATCTGTATGGTATCTATTGGTTAGCTGGAAAAAAATTTGTTCCGATTTTCTGACAATGCTTTTTGATTTCTCTGGGTATTGTTTCTCTTCTTAGCGTGAAGCCTGGTCCAAGCCGTGGACAATGGGAGCGAGCATACTTCCACACCGACAACGGAATGCTGATGTGCCAACTGCCGGACACAAAGGTGTGTACTCACTCTGATTAGATGAATGCCGTGTATCTGGGTAAAGTGAAAACTAAGGGAGACCGCATCATGTCTTATTACATTCATAATTTCTCCCTTCTTTGAAAGCACATCTCTATACCAAGAACACAGGGAAGCCAACCGAATTGATAGGACCTACAAAGTACCTCTGACTCTAGGGTTGGAATGGTCCGGATGGTCTGGATGGTACGGGAATGCTACATGTAACGTGGATGTGGCTAATGGTCTCCATCCGTCTTTCTTGTATGTGTATGTGTATGTTGTGTTGTATGTCTGGTCGTCCGTGTGTCTGTCTGTCCATTGTGTTTTGTGGCGCGGTCCGTGCTGTTCTGTGCCGTATTGAATTTACCTCCCTTACCAGACTGCGGAGCCTACCATGCTACTGGACCCGTCGGCCCGTGCAGGTACATTGGACTGTGACGACCGAAGGTACTGCTTTCAAGTAGTATCCTCACACACCAAGGAGTAAGTCACCTTAGCTGTCCGGACTATCTCAAATACAAGTATATGTCAAGTACAATAGCGAGAATTCCCAGATTGCCTAGAGTGCTCAATACCACCAGGATGGAGCAATACCACAAAGGCAGAAGAGAACAGAGACAACCAGCTAGGCAGGGCCGGCGCCACTGGTACGGCCGGTACGGCCATGGCCATACCAAAAAAAAAAAAAAAAATGGTCCAAGTGGAATGTCCAAAACCGGGGAGAAAAAGTCTCGATGTATGATTTTGTACAGGGAGTCGCCCAGAGTGCAGGATTTGCCGTCTAAATTCCAAATTTTTTCTGGGGGAGGACCCCAAGACCCCCCTTAAAGATGGCCCTTTGGCCGCACCGCTCCGCGAATGCGTTTCATGCACATAGCAAAGCTAAGGCAATCTTCAGACAACGCTCAGGCAATCCTCAGTTGTCTGAGGATTGCCTTGGAGCTTTGCTATGTGCATGAAACGCAGCGTTACAACAATGACCTAGCCGGTTGTCTCTGTTTCCCTCTGCCTTTGTACGTTTCAAGTAAATTGCTGTATGAAGTATTCTAAGCACTCAGCAGCACCACCACAGCAGGTTGCACAATTGAGTACGCTAAGTTACTTTCAAACTTGCTCTGGAAGCATTTCATACGACAATATCTATTTTTCAGAAGAATGTCTAGGTAGTCATTATTTCTATCCAAAGTGATAGAGCTGGAAACACGACTGTCTTCCATTGATCAGTTCTGGGCTAAATAATGAGTGTGTATAGCACACAATAAACACCCAACCAAGTATGTACACCCCTACTGCATTTATGCATTCGTACAATGTGCGTCAGCCCTATTGTTGAATTGACTTCATCTATTCTTCTCATTTTCTCTTTAGGCCAATTTTGCTGCAGGCGGAGAATGATGTTACTCGAGAAGAGGTGAGCGTTGAAATAGATTGTGTTGTTTGCAATATCGTTGTTTGGCTGGAGATTGATACCGTTTTTTCCTGGTTTTATGCCGCACTTTAAACGCCCGTAATTCACCCGAAAAACATCAGTGCGGCTTACACTACGATGGTAAAATGAACCGTGAAATACAGGGTAGACTTGTGTCTGGATTTTTGACAAATTTCTGGGTGCGGTTTATACTCAGGAAAATATGGTAGCTATACTCGCCTATAGGTTGCTAGGTTCAAATTTTGATGTGGACAATATTGCTCGTCTTGGTAAGTTTCTGACCTTCCACGTTACTGCCCAGCACTACGGTCTAGGCCCAGAACCTATGCATTCCAGTCTCAAACACATCTTACATTGCGTGCCAGTACCTCATAACCCCATAACCCTAAACAGCTGGCATGTCCCTTATATGCAACAGTTGACCAGCCTACAGCTGATGGATTGGTTGGTTTAGCCCAGGCATGCTTACAGGGACGACACAGGGCAGTGGGGAGCGGTACAACGGTGAAGGGGGGGGGGGGTGTTCGGGTTGTACCCCCCCCCCCCCCAAAACAGATTTTTCGGCCAACAGGGCACATTTTAGCGCTCTACAGGCGCTCCGAGTGGACTGGAGGAAAGGTGGTATGACCATGATCGTATTGATCGTACCGTGTGTGATGCCCCTGGCTTACATGGGTAATGTGGTACGCATGGCTAACATATCAGTGTGTGTGTGTGATTTTGTGTTTGCTTCATCCAGTGGGTATCCACCATCCTCAATATTGTAGCTGAGCTCACACACAAAGCCGAGACGCCAGCATCTGTAAGTGTACATTTCACTTTGGTGTTCTTGTCTCTGAGTACATAGCTCTTTGCAATGGATGAATTATGTGTCCGATCCGAGTCCATAAATATTGTCCTTTGCAAGTTTCCTGTGGTGTCTCTGTTCTGTTCATACTACCCTCACCCGTATGATTTTTCCATGCATGAAGGACTAGACACCGTGGCTAAGTGCAGAGTAATATCAGAGAAGCTTACTGTTGAAGCCAAGTTTGGCTACAAGACCAGTAATAGCAAAGCTCATGGAAGAAAATAGTACACTCTAGTTACCATTAGAACTTAGTTCCAACATTCTACAGCAGGATTAGACATGCTCCTCAAATTGGGTTATGTGGTACTCAAGGAAGGAATCAGGGTGCAGGCCCGTGTCCCAGAGGTTTCACTCATAGCCGCTCCTGGCCTTTGGCTTACCATTCTCCTTGAGTGGCATGCAGTCATTGTAGAGTGCTTTTGGCCTTTTCACTTGTAACCCACATAATCAAGTGTTGACCAACATTGCGGTATGGGAGCCTTTCCAATGCCACTTGGCTGGATGCCTTGCGTTACTGACCAATGCTCGACCCCCATTTTCTTTTTCTCAACACCACGAGTAACTCTACAAGCTGTGCGCGTAACTGGGCATGTGTCATGGCCGTGGCATTGGTTGTCATTACTGACATCCCCAACTTGCGTGTGATGTAGGCGTTGCATATTTCGGTGTTCATGAGTGCCCAAAAAATGGATGCTTCCATTTTGCTCGACTTCACTTTTGTCACATGATTGGTCCGGAGCCGGTTTGCGACATCAACACCATCCGAAAATGAGAAACAAACTTTAGGATCACAAAACTTCACGACAACCTTGCGCTCAAGCTTGCCTCACACAAAGAAGACAACAGCAAACAGCACACAGTTTACTGCATGACGTTCCTTTTGGACGTGGCATGTATGTGGGCACAGGCTACTGGTTGCCATGGCAGCCAGGTGGGCTCTCAAGTGAGCTCAACCTAGAGCGTGTGGGTGAAAACTGCAAACCTTATAGTGTTTACGCAAACCATGAAATACAATGTAGTGCTTCAATGCTGCATGTACCCTAGTGTGTATATCTGTAGTTGTGTTTGGGCCCAATGGCATACCGTAGAATCCCGCAGATAAGCCCACCCGCGTATAAGCCCATGCCCGCGCATAAGCCCAGGGTTTGTTCGAACATCACTAGGCTTCATCGTACAAGCCCATGGGCCTAGGTCATACCGAGAGTCCACAAATTATGGACTTTTGGCCATACCATGTATGTTGTACATGCACATTATAGTTTTTTTTCGTACATTTCAGCACAATCATCGGTTGTTTTTGTTTGCACAGTGGTTTTCAGCAATGTACTTCTCACTTCCTTGATACTTTTCAATAGCACAACTTGCTGTCGGCGTATAAGCCCATGCCCGCGTATAAGCCCATGTTCTCGTATAAGCCCACCGAAATGTCCTTGTGAAACAGATAAGCCCTTGGGCTTATCTGCGGGATTCTACGGTAATGCATTGCTGATAATGATGTGTCTGTATGCTGGTTGATGTTCAGGGTGACGTTGGACTGATGTCAAGTACACTATCGGCTAAGGATGTCAAGTGAGATTTATTATAATTATACATGTATTCGTGTTATGCAATAATGATGCAGGCTATTGTTGTATGAACTTCATATTGTGCACAGAGCTAAGGCTTACGTTGCACCCAGCAACAAGTTGAAGAAGTTTGAATGTGTTGGTTTTTGATCGTTAGCTTTATTGGGTACAGCACTGTATCTCAGTGCATGTATGTGTATCTATCCAGTCTCTATACTCACTCCCTCAGCGAGTCTTGTACTTCTTGGCACCTTCATTCGCTTCCTTGTTCTTGAGTACCTCTGCTCGTTTGGTCACTGCAAATAATTAACATAAATAGACCAGCAGTAACACCTTGTCTATCCAGTCCCTATACATCCTTTATCTATCCAGTTTGTAAACACCCCTTATCTATCCAGTCTGTATACACTCTTTATCTATCCAGTCTGTATACACACGGTATCTACCCAGTGTGTTTGTATACTGACTGTGTATTGCTGCACTCTACTGGTTGTTCACAGGGAGGAGCGACAGCGCGTTGCGACATGGGTGGAGGATGTTCTCAAAGTGGAGGGAGAGCGCAACACACCACAAGTACAGCGTTCGGCAGTGCCAACCCAGACCCCACCGGTAATACCCTCTGTCCACGCGTAGTTCACTACCACCCTGCTGTATATGTGTGCAACAACATACTTCCATGACAGTGGAGTAAATAATGTATGTACGGATATGCTATGCTCCAGTAATGGTTACTAGAGTCCGTGCTACGTCATCATCCATCTGGTTATCCATGGTGACGGTACAGGTATCAATACCATCCTGTACTGTACGCTGTGTGCAACATATCTGCATGCAAGTGGAGTGAATGCATGCATATTATGCACCAGCTGTGATTAACAGAGTGTGTGCTCCAGCATCATCCTCTGTTTGTCCACTCTGTATGGGGGTCTGGATATGCCGCAGGTTTGCTCCATTGTTTCTGTACTCACGATAACGACATACACTTCATTCGATAATAATCATCTTGGAATAGGGTTGGCCAATAGAACATTGATGATGATGAGCAGCTGGTTATCTCTGGTAGCTGGAGATCACAGAGACTGTGTTTAGTCACACGATCACTGATGTTCATGTACCTGCTTATATCTTTGTGATTGTGTAGGCGCACCAAGTGCAGCCAGCGCAAGATGCCACACAAGGAGCAATGGCTGCAGCCGCTGTTGCGGGCGGTGGAGCTGCTGGTGGAGGTGCAATGGGTGCTACTGCTATGCCTGGCACTCAACAACTGCAACAGCAGCAACAGCAACAGCAACCTTCCATGGCCATGCAACCTGCCGTTGTTCCCACTCAGCCTGTTCCACCTATGCAAAGGCAAGTAGTATCCCGATAGGGTGAACATGATCCTTTCTCCTCCTCCCCACCTCTCTCTCTCTCTCTCTCTCTCCCTCTCTCTCTCTCTCTCCCTCTCTCTCTCTCTCTCTCTCTCTCTCTCTCTCTCTCTCTCTCTCTCTCTCTCTCTCTTTCTCTCTCTCTTTTTCTCTCCGCCAATAGAGAGATCAATTTTTCTCTGATCAAACAAAATTCTGCCTCTTTTCGATGGATTGCATATTCTGTCTTTTCTGCTCACGCTAGCTTCCTTTTCTTATCCTGGCTGGGAGCATTTTTCTGTAATCTCACCCCCAGCTTCAGACACTGCATCTGCCGCTGGGTTATTCCGGGTTGTAGCGGCCGTCGTGAGTTCCCTTGGGAACAGAGAAAAATTTACTCTTTTTTTACTGTTGTCTTGTTGTGTTGTTTGCTGGCTGTGTGTAGTCCTGCAGTTGCTGATGGAAATACAACGGATGGCGGCATGCAAGCACAAGGTACGCTTTACTTTGTGCTGATGCACACTTTTTTCATGCTGATGGTAAATGTATTAGACATCCTTAGCAAAACTACGATAACGCTAACTTTTACGGTACACACTCCCAGCCGTGACAAAAGACGTTATCGGGTAACGGAAAAACGTTACAGAGCTCAAAATAACGGGCCGACGTTCGTTATGGTAATTCTGCAAAAAAATGCTAAAACTCGCATTGTATTGTAACTGGCGGGAGATAAAAAGCACGTGCAAGTCGAGATGAGAGTCGAGATTGTTTCCTCTTGTGACATATAGCTATTTTTGGCGAGTTTTGCCTTTCAGTTGACAATGTCTGTGTCCTCTGCTTCGTGGCTTTCACCCTCTATCCCATCTGGGAAACAAAGGACCAGTTCCACGGCACTCCTGAGGAAGAAATGCATCGGCCTCTCCCAGACGTGCTGGAGCTGGAGAGAACCCTTACAGTCCTCGGTGCTGCGTTTAGGAAAGGTTTTCCAAGGACCTGGGAACAGCGAAAACTCATTTTCGCCGTGCTTTTGCTATTCCAGAGTGAAAGACCTCGCCAAGGTATTCTTTCGGAACGACAGCAAACTAATCCCTGTTTCAAAATTTTGAATTTCCCACACCTGTTTCCACGAAAATTCATATCGCCATGGTTGTCACAACTACTTCGTCTGAACTATAACGTACATTGTGCTAAGGGAAAAGTCAGCTTGAACGATCCGAAGTACGGAAAGGTTTGCATTTATGTTAGCGTTTTTTAGCTAAGGATATCTATTGTCTCCATCACAGTCTATAGAGCAGCTTATCCTTGTTCTCTTTCTAGTGTAGACCACGTCCTCTAGCCTGTGATGACCGGTTGTTATCATGGGAACTGGCTTAATGTCATAAACGGTTAGAGCAACCACATTGCGCCGGCATGCCCATTTGACGGTGCCTCGTGCTTCTTCTGCCCTTGGCCACGGCGAACAGTCTGCTTCACACAGTCGGGAATCCGATCTGAGCGCGCTGTACACGTGTACAGTTTGTTGTCCTCCAGCAGCTTTTCTGCCAGCAAGCAGCTTGAGTACAGATTGTCCACAAAGACATGATAGCCGTCACCTGGAAGCTGGCGCATCAGTTGATAAACAGCACTGAACGTTTTGCTTAGGCCAGGAGTGGTGGCTACCTTGTTGTCAAACTGAAACTGGTACTTGTTGGTGTAGCCTGTCACTGGATCGTACAGAGCGTAGGCAAGAAATCCATCCCCAGCTCTCTTGAACGCTGACCCTTGACTTGAACGCTGACCCTTGACTTGAACGCTGACCGGCCCTTGAAGGATATGTCCATTTCGTCTACTGACACACATTTGCCCGGCACAAACATCTCCTGGGAGTTGGTCAGTAGACCTGCCAGCCAAGGCCGCAACTTGTAGAGGACATCATAGTTTGCTGCGCCGCGCTTAGGCTCTTGTCCGCTGTCAGCCAGATGAATAAACCGCTTGATTTGCTCAAAACGTACTAAGCTCATTGTCTTTTTAACAATCTCGCTCGCAAAGTTTGGGTCGGAAGACCAGTACAGGGATATGGAGGGGTACGGGTGTAGAGCATTGTGCAGTAGAATTCCAATCCACACCTTTAGCTCAGACACTGTCAGATCCTTCCATGGGCGTTGGTGTGGCATAACTTGCAGCACTACGCGGGCAATCCATTGGTGATAATACAAATTCGTTTGGGTCACACAAATTTTCAACATTTCTTCAGTGATGAACTTAGGAAATACAAACTCAGGATCTGCCAATTGCTCCACAGTCAGGTCGCCCTTGATGCCCGGATGGCCGTTAAAAGTCGGCAGCTCATTTGTAGGCAGAACGTCAGTCCAGCCAACATTAATTTGCCGAGCTCTTCGTGCTGGCTGTTCACCGCTGCTGGCTGCCACAGCAGGAACATTCTCAGTCTCAGTCTCAACTTCATCACCGCTGCCGGTGTCCACCTCTCCATCCGACTCAAGCCCAGGAGCGCACTCTAAATCGCTGTTCGTGCCAGCTGAATCGTCCGCACTCGGAACCTCCATGATCAGCTGATAGCAGGAAGTAGTCTTCGCAAAGCCTTTCAATAGGCTTGAGAAAAAAGCACGACTCCCAAGGCAATACCCTTCGTTCTTTCTGTGAAAAAAGCGTTTCTCTCTCAGTTTTTATGGCCTACGTGGCACAGATATGTTTGTGTGGGCACTCAGCGGCCATATTTTGCCATGGCAATGCTTCAGCCTGTGCGTCGCCCCTGTCAACATGCCCAAAGCCTATATGTAGGCTTCACCAGACGAAGAGATGGACAAAGGAACACCTGTACTAAAAAATCAACCAAGAGACGGTAGATAGATAACTACTGTATCGTTTCTTGGCCTGACCTTCTAGTTTTCATCGCTGCTGGTGTCTCAGGGCGCATCTGCAAGTGCGTCAACCTGCAAAACGTCGACAGTTTTTTCATCTCCTCCAAGCTACACTGCGATTCCTTGATTTTTTCACTCCATAGGCACGATTTAGACAATCGACTTCGCCTCCTCCTCGTGCAGTACGACTGCCAGAATGGTGGCTATAGGTGTTTTCGCCTGACGCGTCCACGACACCTTCAAAAAGAGGCGAACAAGTAAACCACCACGCATCAAAAATCACTTCTCATCACCGTGTGCCGCCTGCGTACTGAGTCTGATCTGCGTCGACCTGATCTGATTGTCATGCATGCAGTCAGACCATGCGTGCTCTTCCCTGCCTGTTGCACGAATCCACTGGCCCCGGAGACTGGCGACCTTGTGACGCATCGCGATCGCGGCTCCGGCTCCGAGGACTCCGCACCATTCACGCACCGTATCCTCAGGATAATTCACCGTTTCTGCGCTTCAGGTTTCCAGCCAGGTTGTCGCCTGCAAGTCGACCTCAAGGGCGGTTATTTATTCCGATCAACTCCTCGACGATCTCTTCTGTGATCTTGATTCGTCGCCCGCCACATCGTGAACGACTGCAAGAGAGATCAGCAAACTGGACGGAGCGATGCTGGTCCTTTCTACACGAGTTTCTGGATGACGCATTTGCTGAAATTCTGCCAAGAAAACAGCGACTGCAGCGATTTCAATCCGCCAGGAGGCACTCGAGAACGATCGCCCAGGAGTTTCTGGTACTCCGTGACAATTCTCCATTGCAGTGGGGTGTTGATTTCAGCACCAGGCCTTCTCTGTGTTGCGCGAGAAGCAACAGGAGTCTTCTTACGACAAAATTTGGACGCAAAATGCTCGAGTTGACTAGGATCCTGAGCCGCTGCCTCCGTTGAAGTTGGCGCCATTTCTTCTTCAACATCACAAATCGACAACTGAAGGATAGTGTTAGGTAGCTGGATAGTTTATTCCGTCCTGAGATTATTTGAATTTGTTTGGTTGACGTTCGAAGCGAAACGCACATTTTAATAAGTCGGACCAAGTACAAAAAGTAAAGTGCAAGATATGCTTGTAGACAGCACTCTAAAGCAGAGCGAATGTCTCACTTACACATCATACCAACGGAAAATGGAAATGAACAATGTTTTGGCGACCCCGATCATGGTTGCCATGGACACCCCGATCATGGTTGCCATGGACACCGCATAGCAACAGCATAGCAACCGCATTGCAACAGCTTCAAAGCATTGTGTATGGCTTCCAGACGAACATTAGACATTATAAAACACATCTGGCTGGGACTTTCATTCAACATGCAGGCAAACAAGTGTAATTGCAGCGACAGACTACGAAGCAGGGCCGGCGCCACTGGTACGGCCGGTACGGCCATGGCCGTAAAAAAATAATAATAAAAAAAGTCAGTCCACATGGAACGTCCAAAACCGGGGAGAAAAAGTCTCAATGTATGATTTTGTACAGGGAGTCGCCCAGAGTGCAGGATTTGCGGTTGCCACGGAAATCAGATAGCGGAGCTTTGAGATCCACACTCTCAAGGAAGGTCTTAAAATCCGCAATGCAACCTGCTGCCTCGTCACCATGCTCTTCAAAAGCCTTGGTTACAGAGTAGATTAGGCGGTTGGTGGAACTGTGGCTTGAAGCCCAAGCACCAGGCAGCACATCAGCTCCAACTTTCTCTCCATCAAAGTGGACTTCCTCCCACTTCTTCAGCAGGGCATCTGCCTGGTCTGCGAGACCAACAATGTAGTGCAAACCACGAAAGAAAGAAAAATCGTGACGGAAAGCTGCTTTTGCTGAGCCTCCGACGATGAAGACCAGCTGGCATGCACGTCTGGCAATACCTCGGCCCGGTACGCCTGAAGCAGCTCGTTGAAGTTTTTTTGCACGATGCTTCTGTCGCTCATGGTGTTCTTAATGTTAGACACGATACGTTCGCCAATACCTTCTGAGTCGCTAGATACTTTGGCAACATCTGCCAGCACAGCTTTCAGCATTTCCAAGGTATGGACGGCCGTGCCTCTCTCCATGTCGACCATACTAAGGCTGTAGACTCGTTGGCTGGTGGCGATCTGGAACGAGCCATACTTCCGACCATGTTTGCTGGTCCCGTCGCTATGGAGGGTGGTGTTCTTCTCTCCTTCCAACTCCTCAGCTAACTGGAGACTGGCCAGACCTTTCAGCTCAACATAAAGCTGAGAGAGTGTTCCGTGCGATGGAAGACGGTCTGCCCGTTTGCCAACCAGGGTGAGAACGCTGTTAATCACTTTCCTGACATTGAAAATGCCAACATTACTGGCCAGCAACTCCAGGCAGCATTGCCGGACATGTGACAAGTATGTTCCGCCTGCCATCGTTTCAATGTCTCCATCGGATGCATCGGCATGCAGAGATGACACCTCACTGCGCAGTGCAACATTCTCCTTCTCCGACGCACACAGTCGTTTGTTTAGGAGTTCCATCTCATCTTGCAAGCAAGCGATCGCAGAGTCAGCATCCGCAAGTTTCTTTCTCATTTGGTGCTCCTTCTGGTGATGCTTATGCAGGAGCGCCTGTTGGCTTTCTTTCAACTCGTGTAGCTCTACATCTGCTTCTTCTTCCAACTCCTCTGATTTGCTTTTCTCTCGGTGTAAACGTCTACGGATGTTATGCAGTCTGGACTTGCTGGCTCGAAGCTGCTGTTCGAGCTTATCGACAGTGTCCGACAGACTGGACACTTCAGCAGCAAGTTGAAAATTGACAGAAGATGTGACAGGGTCTGAGGTACGTGAGCTCACTGATCTTGCATCACTAACCAAAGGCACACTCGATGCTCACGTCACACTGCCACTGGCCTCTCCTGGCTGCTCGCCAGACTCTTCCTCCTCCTGCGCAGCTCCAGAATGCAGACTAAATACACTATTTAGGTACGCATCAAGGGATTCTGGCGAACGCTTCGCTGACTTGCGGAGCTTCGTCTTCGTTTCCTTCAAGCGGTGGAGACGGAGATGGAATGTTTTTACACTGACGGCTGCTCCCCGCTGAGGAAACAGCCGCAGCACTAGTGTGTGGAGTACATCGGTGCTCAGCTTCTCTGTAGTTTGGAACGCAAGAAGCTCCGACAGCAGTCCGTTGGTGCAGAATGCAGTATCCCGAACACAATCGTAAGAGATGAGTCCCTTTTTGCTTCTGATTGAAAAGTTGCTTTCGCTTATCTACGGAGCTAGGACTTTGGAACGTCGGCACGCTTACAAAATTCGCCTAAAAACAACTTTTCCTCCGATGCTCCGCTTTTCTCCGCTGCCGCTTCGCTCTCAGGCTCAGATGGGAGAGTGGTTCCCAATTTCTCTCTTTGCGCAGCCATGCGCAAGCTCCTACAAACTCTAGTTCAACTGTTTCCGAATGGGAAGGAGTCGCTGAGAAAGATAGGCACTGTTTCCAAAGCGTACTACAACGGCAAGGGCCCGAAAATCAACTTAGTTTTTTATGTGTGGCAGCACGGAAGCTCTAGATCGGCCGCACTATGGCGTGATTGGGATCAAACGAAAGCTTAGGTCATCACCTGTCGAAATAATTATATCGACTTCCTGTGCCTCCGTACAACGAGAGGGACCTGGTACTTGACACAAGTCGCGCACTGTGACGATACCACGCAAGTATGGACAGCGACCTGACCTCAGCAAAGTCTGACAGCTCGGCTCACAATCACATGACTGAAGTGCCTACTACATGTACTTTATGTAGGCAATGTCCAGAGCATGTGATGAGCATGGGAGTGCACATTGGAAGAGTTCATCTGGTTTGCACTCACACCTGTATGCTGCAGCTCTTTCTGAAATACGGAAACGGTGATGTCACTATAGATGATGTTAACATTCAGCACGGTGGCAGTGTTAATGGGGAATGTCAGTGCCGATACTGCCATGCAGTGCATCTCTAGCACTCTAGTTCTGAACACCAATACTTGTTTGGGCATGTGTTACTGTTTCTCTCCGTAGACAAGCTGGCTGAAGCCCCACGATCGTTTTCTGTGCGCTTCCTGGGATCACTGGAGGTGCAGTTTGACAGAGGTAGGGCGATATAATGTTTTCTCAGCTTGTTCCATGTACTGCTGCCATGGTTCTGTATGCTAGTAATTATCCTGATCTGATCTGACCTATACTCACCCTGATCTAGACTCTGATCTCTACTCTTATCTACACTCACCACTCACCGACTATCCTGCAGTCGGTAGAGCATGAGACTCTTAATCTCAGGGTCGTGGGTTCGAGCCCCACATTGGGCGCTAAATGTCGTCTCGGTTGGAGAAACGAACTACTTCTTCTACGCTCTCGCCACGCCACAAATGCAAGAGGACTCGTAAAATGGTTGTTCTCTATTTCGAGAGAGATCTTTTCTAAACCACACGTCAAGAGCCGGCGAGAGAACTGAACTAACAAGTAACACTGACAACTAACGACTAACGACTGGCACTGAGACAAGACGAGACAACAGAGTATCATAGTGAAGGCGTACAACGGGGACAAGACGAGTGTGTACACAACGGGGACAAGACGAGTGTGTACACAACGGGGACAAGACGAGTGTGTACACAACGGGGACAGAAGACGGTGCAGCCGCATGTACGCAGGAGTCAAAAACAGCGCAGCAGCGTGTACCACGGTTCAGCAGCATGTACAGCAAAGAGACACAAACGCAGCAGCATGTACGACAAAGAGCTACACGTGCAAACGCATGTACAACGAAGAGCTACAAGCACAACCACGTGCACTACACTAGTATCGTGGTCATTGTCTGTTTTTTCTGCTTCTTGTCTTGTCACAGGCATTCAAGTGGTGGAGGATACATGCAAGCGAGTTATGCAAGCCAGAACTGCACAACACGTGCGATCCTCTGTTGACTCTGTCATGGTCATTTCATCTCGTGGATTCAGGTATGGTGTGCGCATAGTTCTATTAAACTGTTGTGGACCTTGACTTTACCTATGCCGGGAAGCCTGCATGCTAGCTTCTGCTAACCCGTGCCAGGAGTGACGATTAGTAATAAGATTTTCGTTTGACCCGACGAGACAACACGACGCTTTCAGACGACAAAACGAACAAATGAAATGAAAATCCTATTAGTATTATTTGACAGACCTATTGAAGATGGCAACAAAGAATAGTGACGACTATGTAGCGTAACAAAAACTGATGTCCATGTGTGGTTCACCCCTCTGTGTACAGGCTCATTCATCCCAACACTGGCATTGTCAGGACAGAGGTAAGCAGGCGTGCACATCGTATACTTATAGAGTGTTACTTTAAGTGAGTGTTGGGTTCTGTATTCCTCGGTCACTTTTCACTTTGAATGACACAGTAACATTTTTTATTCTTAGCATACGTACCGTTACAATGTCCAGGTTGGGTTTGCTGCTCAGATTTTTACAAGTATGTCGGGTTGCTATTGCTAAGTGTAAGGCGTTTTCATGCAGCTCCTAAACATGCCGTGGAATTACTCCGGCGGGCAAATGTTTTAACTGCGAGCACAATGGTTTATAATCCAAGAACACTTCTGCTCGAGTTTAAACATTTAAAGACCACGCGAAGCTATACTACGCCACCCTACATTCTTACAACCCAATGTTACTGTGAAGCTCTTGTTCGCAATTCCACAGAGTGTTCTTTAGATTGCTGATGGGTGTTTGCAATTAATTGTGTATAGAGACTTGGTGCAGCCTAGCATCCTCATTCTACCACGAGCATTGTATTATGCCTTTACCAAATACACTTGAATAGTAGGGATGAACCAGCGGCATTACCACAATATCTGTAAATCTTGCATGAGTTCTGCACGTTTGTGAATGACAGGCGTCGTCTTTATGACGTGTGGATGCACTTTGTTATTTGCTGTTTGTTTTACTGCTTGTTTGATGGCATTTTTTGCTGCTCGTTTTGCTGTGATTGTGCATGTGCAGTTCAGAACACAGGACGTGTCATTCTTTGCGTCGCATCGCTCCAACCAGAAGTAGGTAGCAGCTGTCAGTCGTCAGTGCCACCTATCTAGCTATCTAAGTTTGTCTTTGTATCTGCAAGTCATCTGGTGTGTAGCTAGATAGCTGACTGTGGTTGTATAAGGAAACTGATGCAATCTCGCACGCTGCCAGGAATGCAGGACACTATTGCCAAAGTGAAAAAAGCTCCCAAGAGTTCGGAAGGCCAGCAGCTTGCTCTTGTTCAGCTGTGGTCTTGAGGATGGCAACAGGGGTAATATCTCCACCGTCGGTCAGTGTCGTGCAATGTTATCGCGTGAGCTGATTGTTTAGTAACTGATGGTGTTAGTGGACATTATAGCGTAACTTGTAGTTCCCTGGTCCTTTCTCTTTTCTAAAGAACTGTTGGGTTGTCAGTTCTAATCCAGGAAGTGCTCCAAATTCTCGCCATCATCCACTCCCTCATCTGCAGCGCAAAAATCTTCGTTGCCACCTGGCCAATTACAGTCATAGTCGCTGCTGCCAAGATCAGCAGCAGCAGAAGCAGCAACAGCGCCAGTAAATTCATCGTCATCGGCAGTTAGTACAGCAGCGAGTGTCTCGTCAACCGTGAACCAAAGACGACTGGCCACGTTGAAGGCAATCCCATCGAAGGAGAATCGAAATCAAACTCAAAGCACAATGAAAAAACGTTGATCGGGTGCATGCACCCATCCGTGAAAATAAATATTGCGCTACGATATGTGCGCCGAATTTTGATCTTTAAAAATGACATGTCAACTGAGTGTAATCGCTATCGAGGAAGCTAAACGAAATCCCACAGAACTGGGAGTTTACTAGTGTAAGTCCACTTGAAATCTGTGTAAGTGGTTTGAAATCGTGAAAATTAGACGCTTCAAATACGCTTTTCTCAGTTTTGTTGTGCAGTGAGCTAGGCACCATTCTAGCGTGTTCCGGAACATAATCACTTGCCTCTAAAGAATCAAATTCCCGTACAGCTACTCTCATAGAACCTCCTAGTACTCAACGCGTCCCTATCCACAGTGGAGCTGCACAGTGTCTTTGTGCTGGCCGTGCTGGCAGGTTAGGCTAAGAGTGGGCAATTCCGATAGTGTAAACTTTGTACTGTACACGTGTGTGTTTGTGCTACAGGATGTTTGGTCTGATCAGCCGCTCGCCCAAGACTGGCACAAAAGCATGTCACGTTTTTGAGACGCAAGTTGGTGCAAAGGAGGTCAGTACTCGTACTTTGTTACTCTTTTGTTACACACGACACAGAGCACAGAGCACAGAGCACAGAGCACAGAGCACAGAGCACAGAGCACAGAGCACAGAGCACAGAGCACAGAGCACAGAGCACAGAGCACCACGCATCATTCACTGTAACTAATACAGTAGTTTCATGCCCATACTGGCCATAGGCAATCATCAGACAACTCTGGTGATTGCCTATGGGCATGAAACTATTAGTTGTAACGAATGATGCGTGGTGCTCTGTGCCCTGTGTAAGATAGCTCTATTCGAATGAATGTTGAGCACTCTACCGAAGCCGGAGGACTCTCATTTGTAACTCTTTTGTTATGAAGGATATCAGGTTATTGTTTTCACATGATTTTCTTCTCCAGTTTGTATGTCGGTGTGTTCAAGTGTGTCAATTCTGATTATGAGAGAAAAGGCGCTGGACAAACCTTCTGTTTAAAAAGAAAATAGATTATCGCGTCCGTTCCCACGGAAACTCACAAGGGCCACCATAATAATAATAATAATAATAATAATAATATTCGCGGGATCCGCGTCGGCATCGCTTGAATGTTCAGAAACACACAAACTAGCCTTCGCATCCGCAGGCCACCACTATGCCTGTTAACATTAGTGGCGAATGCAGACCTCACAAGTGAGTCAGGGGAGAGGAGGTTAGTCTCTCAACCAATCGGGCGTGTAACGGCCCATAACCCTGTAAACTGCATCCTTGTTATTCTCACTCCGAGCTGTGAGTACCCAGTTGACCGTGGGTGTCGGCGCAGTTCAATACGCGTAAAAAGTATTTTTACACGCTCCCTGCTACCAGCGCGGGTCTTGAACTCGGGACCTCATGATTCGCAGGCAGGCCTGCAAACCAATCGGCCATATGCGTTGGTCTCCAACACCCGGTAAATCCAGCAGCCCCATTCTGTTATTGACTTGGAAATGGTGATGACACGCTTATCTTCCCTATGCATGCATGCGTATGCGTGTGTGTGCTCATTGTGTGCTCATGGACGAAGTATTGCTAATGGCTTTGTTTGCTTGTGTGTTTATGTGTTCATGTGCAGTTGTGTGGCGCCATGCAGAACGCGCTGCAGCGTGCATATCAGATGTATCGGGTAAGGCCGTACGAACTAAGAGAGACACTTTGTCATAAGCAGTAGTACTAGTAGTCTTACATCACAGTGATACTGATAGTGGGAGACAGTCACGTGACTGTCAGGGTGGGATACACCAAGGCATCATCGTATACCTGCAATTCTCATGTCACGTGACTGTCAGGGTGGGATACACCAAGGCATCACCGTACACCTGCAATTCTCATGATAGATGTACATGTAGTCCCATTGCACTGGGTACTGTGATTACCTAGTGCATGAGCTGTCAGCTGATGCTGATAAATCTGCATCGGATTAAAGCGATATGATTTGTTGTTCAGTATGCATGTGCGATATGATTTGTTGTTCAGTATGCATGAGTATGCATGCGGCTACTGTACATCACTGTTCACCTACTTCCTTCGGAAACAAAAACTTCGTGACTTTTTTTAACTAATTTTCGCTGGTGTTCTGTCGCTCTCTGTGTGTTTCTGTCGGTCTGAAGCACCAACAGATGACATTTTGGAGTCATACAAAGGCATGATTCACATTCTGGAAAGTCGAGAGTCATCGTAAGGCAAACCATTGCCAACAAAAGCACTGCGCTCACTGCTGGTCGTTGCCAGCTTTTGGTTCAGAATGAGAACAATCAGGACAATGGCACTGAGGAGCAAGAAGAGTGTGAAAGGGATAGCAGCTAGTGTTTTGAAATCTGTGTCATCCCCAAAAACACTGGTCAAAGTGCGAACAGGTTGGCAAGATGTCAAACCCCGAAAAAAGCAAAGATGTGGCACTCGTCACTTCGCACAGCACAGCAAAGCTAGCAAGTTCAAAATGCAAGTCGTCGTTCAGCCACCGTGGAGCCCATTTCTCAACGTGGAATATCTCGTCTTTTTCAGCAGCCTCCACTCCGATGTCTCCTTGGTTGCATAAGAGAACAGGCGAGATCGCCTCGCAGCAGTCTTGAAGTGATGGGACGACTACAACGCGGAGAAAATGCGAAATGTGTCGCTTTGCCTGTACACGTCGCGTCGCTCAGGGGCATCCTCAAGAGCGGAGGTAATAATGAGTTCCAGTGCTACCGCGATCTCCACATAGATGCTTGGGAAGGCACTGGTAGAAATCACGTACTAGTAACAGCGAAGACGATCAGGGACGCGGAGAAGCTGCTCCGTGACGTGCAAGAACGCGTCAATCGACTTGCGACTTTGGTTGATTCCAGTGGTGATGAATCGAGCCATGGCGACTCAGGCTGAGGCTCCATTCCCATCAATCGATATTGTAGATATTGTACGCATGTCCATTGAGCATGTTTAAGTGTTTCTCTTCGAATAGAACACTTCTGTTGAGCACAGTAACTCAATGAAAAGTCATGTGGAAAAATCACGAAGTTTTTGTTTCGGGAGGAAGTACATGCATGTCATAGTTCATGCTGTGGGTCCTCATGAAGACATGTTGGAATTCTCCGTGTACAGCAATCAATCCAACCGAAACAGCAACAGCAGTCACTGCAGAGGCAGCCGCAAATGCAGCAACAACAGCATCAGCAGCAGCAGCAACAGCAGCAACAGCAGGTGGGAGGTGGCATGGGGGCTGGCATGGGGGCTGGTGGAGCAGCTCAACAGATCTCTATCCAGGCACAGCAACATCAAATAGCCCAGCAACGCTATGCTCAGCAGCAAATACTTCTTCAACAGCAGCAAAATACCCAACACGTTCCACAGCAGCAAGGCCTTCAACTCCAGCAACAGCAACAGCAAGGCATGCAATCTCAGCAGCAGCACCTGAGAGGAGCACCACAACTTCAACCTGGCCATCAATCGGTCAACACCTCCATGGCCAGCAACATGGCCGCTGGTGCGGCAATGGCTGGAGGAGCTGCAATGGCCACAGAGAACTTGTCACTTGAGCAGCAAAACCAGCAGCAACAGCATCTCGCCAGGATGCAGCAGCTGAAGGTGCAGCAGCAGCAATTACTTCTGCTCCAAGAACAACGCCGGTTGCAGCAGGCTCAGCAACAAGCACAGCAAGCCCAACAAGCTCATGCTGAGTACCAGCAACAACAACTGGGACAAGCCGTTCAGGTAACACAGCAACAACTTCAACAGCAACAGCCACAACCCATCACCTCCACACAGGCCACCATGGTTGGCATGGCAGCAACAACTCAAGGAGCTGGCATACCCAAGAGGAAGGTCGGCACTAGGGACAAGGTAGGAGAAATTCTTCAAAAAAGTTTTAAATAAGGACCATTGTAAATTTGGAATCACGAACTATCCTGCAGAAATACAATGCTTCAAGTAGTCCGATTCAGAAATGTGGTTATTGGTGACTGGCTCTTTGTGTTTGCCCTCTCACTTACCATGGTGTAGCTGATTTCAGCCTCATTGTAGCCAGTGAGGTACATGCTCACATGCTGCAGGGTTGCAGCCATGCTAGGCAGATCAATGTCCCTCTTGTCAACAATGTTGCAGAACATGCATGACGTGCACATGTGTATGACAGTAGAACGTACTGTCACTGCTATGGACAGTGCTGGCAACTGAAATCCGACCCCCCTAGCGGTGCGCTAGCCGCGTTAGCGATTCGTACGAGACGCTAGGGGGGGGGGGGCGGATTTCAGTTGCCAGCACTGTACATGTATATGTAAGTGTGCTGATGTGACTGCTATGTGCGCTGTGTATGACAGTATACCACCACTGCCATGTGCGCTGTGTGGCCTTGTGACGATTATTGATGTGGTGTGTTTGTGTGTCTTTGTGATATAGGAATGGCAGAGCTTGTCGGGACAGCATGGTGCCGTGAACGACATGGCGGCTCAAAACTCCTGGAGCACGGGTAGCCCGGACGAGATAGAACCGTACGGCACTGTTTCCGTTGCAAACAGGACAACGTATGTGCCATCTCAATCCAGGGAACAACAACAACTACAACAACAAGCACAGCAACAGCAGCAACAGCAGCAGCAGACCAGTATGATGCCAGCAGCGGCTTCAACGGCAATGGGTGCTGCGGCGGCTGGCGCACAGCCATCGTTCACTACGGGACAGCCGTCGGCCGCTGCTGACGACGATGCCACTGCTATCTATGCCACCGTGAACAAGAGTGCACACAAGGCGGGACAAGCAAGTACGGAGCGCCCAGACAGTGTCAGCCCCGTGTCAAGCGACTCGTCCACTACCACAACCTCCACCACCAGTACTAGTAGCTCTGATGCTGAGGCTGCTCTGGCTGGCTTGACAATTGCGCAGCATCCGAGCATGACCGATGCTAGGGAAAACCCCTTCAACAGGCTTTCCCCCGGTGCGTCCTTTCCCCCAGGTCAGGTGACCAGTGGGGTGCCGGGCAGTGGTGGCTGGCAACCTTCGGCATTACCGGACCATTTCCAGGGTGATTTCTCACACCCGGAGCCAGCTGTTGTCGTGGAGACAGTGGAATCACCGGCGGACAACAACGATCTGGAGCCATCGCCACTAGTCACGGAGATGGCCATGAGTCTGACATCGCTCAGTGCCCTACACTCCGGCTTGGTTGCACCCAGTACTACACCAGCCGTCGCCGGACTACTCGACACGGCCGCTGCTGATGCAGCAATGGCAGTCGCCATGGCAGCAGCTGCCACCCTGCACGAAGCTGACAATGAGGATGACGATGGTGCAGGCTTGGAAAGAAGCCCATCGCAATCATCGTTGCTAAGTGATCTGTCTGATTCGTGAATCCAGTAGGTAGGCAATGCTGCATCCTGGTCAGTTGAAGTGTACCTAGAGCAATGGGGGGTTTCCCCGCACTGTGCCAGTACTGCTTGCATATTGAACCTAACACATGTATGCATAGTGATGTGGCCGTGTTGTCGTCTTCCTGTGTGTACTGGTACTCGTCCAAGACCTGTTCTTGCACACCGTCGGTGAATTCGGATGTAGTGCTCCTGCTTCTTTATCATTTTTACTCGTTGTGCGTTGATTGCGTCTGGCTGTTTTTGTTTTTGTCTTTGATTATCTATCCACTAGGTAGGTGGTTGTTGTCCTGCCAAATGTGAATGTTCTCAATTCCTCGAAGTGCTAGAGAGATGTTAGTTTTGCTTTATTTGTTTGCTTATGCCACTGTGGTGTCTAACTGGCATAGCCCGGTTATGAAATTGTCCCACTGGAGTTTTTAGGGTGTTATTTTTTCTTTTTTTCGTTTGTCCCTCTTGCCTGCCAAATTGAAGTCTACTGAAGCCTACTATTGTCATGCTTACTAAGATTCTGCATGCATTTTCTTCATCTATATTTGCACAGCATCCGAGTTTCAATTTCAATTTTTGAATTATATCTTTATTATTCGCTTCTTTGCTCACTATCATTCTGTTATTTTTCTACCCGTGTGCGCGTGTGTCTCAGTCTAACGCCTGTCTCCAAATGCTGGCATTTGAGAGGGCAATTTGATCTCATTTTCTCCCATTTATCTCCGTTTGTTCTTTTCCCGAGAATTTCCTCCTAGATATTAGATTGCCCTTCTTGGATAAACATAACAAGCATGACTTGGTCAATTTAACTTGTTCCTAATTGACTAATTGACTTGCCACCAATAAAGACTGATCGTGTGGATTCATGGCTCAAGTCTTTTCTTTGTGGTTCAGTGGTTTGTGGACATGAAGAGTCCGTGCCCTAGAGTAGTAGTGTCGCACGCTGAAAAACGTGGAGCCCAAGAACGTCCAGCCTGAAATACTAAGAACGCCACAGCCTACGGACGGCGGTCTCGGCTTTCTGGCAACTCGTGGGACACATTATGGTCCTGTACGGATTGTTTCTAAGAGCGTGCTACGGTACCTGTATAAGAACGCAGCCAGATTACTGGAAAGTAAGAACGTCCCAGCCTAAACCCCTTGGAAACAATGCTCTTGGGCGCGCGACTGCTGTATGCCGCTGTGATTGGGGACCAGTGCTACTCTCTTCAACACTGGTATGTACTGTGTGTATAGAATATTGTCTGCACAGTGCCTTACACACAAAACACAAGCCTGATCTATGTCGTGCCAGTGCGCTAGTCTTGTTTTCGCATTATCTTTTTTCCAGTCCGTGTCGTGTAGATTCTGGTGGGTGCACGAACTTGACACTCACCCTTTCGAAACATACTGCTCTCAACCCTGATCGGAATCGGCATTATGTAAAATGCACCAAAAACAGCCGGGGGCAACATATCCTACATGATATCAACTGTAGGTATTCATTATGCGAAATGAGACCGGCAGATGGAAAATATGAAAACCCTACCAGAAAGGAACACAAGCCAAGGAATGAAGGAGGATACGGGGGCTAGTGTGTAGAAGTTTTAAAATTATAATCGCCATGTAAATGTTACTATCATCCTGAACCTCCCAGAGGCCTTGGCTACTGGTACTAAGGTTCGGCAATCTTTGCCATGAACTTAGGCTCCCCAACCCAAGACGAGGGAAGATCGTATACGGAAAAAGTTCGTGAAATGTTAGCTTTTCAGAAGAATACCCGTACCAAAGCAGTTTTTGGATACAACTTTAAAATAATATACTAAACGGTCGACCTTACTCGCTACAGCTCGAAATTACTCGAAATTGAAGATCTGAAAACCACTGAAATTGTAGATGTGAAGACTGAGTATGAGAGGAGTCAAGAATAGTGCTGAATGAGAATGAATTGAAGCACACGCCTTACACACGCACACAGACACACACACAAACGCACACGCACACATACACACACAATTACCGCATGGGATTTTTAGCATACGATGAGTAAGAGTTATCAAAGAATGACTTTGGCCTTTAGCAACAGGATTCGGACCTACAATTGTATTTGGAGCCAGATCAGTGTACAGGTTGAAGACGGCCATTGATGAATCATACACTGCAGACGTGCTTGCTGCATGAATGAAGACAATGTAGCTGGGTGATTACATACGATTGGATGGCTGCAGACACTGTACGAGACGCGCAAGCATGAGCTAATCAGTATTCTCCACTGATGAGCGGAACATGAAAATTGCAATTCCGTAAGAACCTTATTGTGCTACAAACTACAATCGCGGTGTTATGGTGTTATGGTGTTATGGTGTTATGGTGTTATGGTGTTAAGTGATGTCTGCATCCTTGAACTTCTCATAGCTATAATCGGTGATCACTCAGCTGAACTGCTTGCGTCGAATACGCACTGGGTACTGATCGCCGGCCAGTGGAGGTATGACACCGATTGTCGAACGAGGGAAGTCGAACCTTGGCACCGCCTGATCGCTCTCCACTGCCTCGATATCGAAGCATAGCACCATTGTTGCCACGTAGACCTTGATCTCGTCACGTGCAAAGTGTCTTCCCGGGCACAGGCTGATGCCGCATCCAAACGGTAGCAGGTGATGCCGCACCTTTTCACCGGAATCCCGATCACGGAAGTCACGTGGCTCGAGGCGGTCCGGCGTCAGGAAGCGGTCCCACTGGAACTGCTCCACGCCGTCTCCGTAGACTTGCTCTTGAGAGTGGAGTGCGTGTGTTGCAACACAAATACGGTCGCCTTTACGGATATGAATCGGAGCTTTCTGATCAGGTAGTTGCAGAGTGCAATCCTTTAGCGCTATTCTCCCAAGGAGCGGAGCGCTGCAAGTGCGGAGCATCTCGTTCACAAGACCATCCAGCTTCACCATGCTCTGCAACTGACCCCTCAGCACCTCTGGGTTAGTGGATAGGTGATGCTGACTGGGATGACACGTCTCTGACGATGCATTGCCGTCGGTACTCTCATTACTCTTGATGATGTCCTGTATTTCTTTCCTGATCTCGTCCGTGACGTCAGGACGTTTCACCAGGTGCAGCATGGTCCAGAAGATGGCCGGACTGGTGTTGGCTACCAGCGCAAACAAGAACGCCATGTTGTGCACATGCAGGTCAGCCAAGTTCACTCCAGCGCTGCTCGTTGTGAACTGCTCACGCCGGTGCATCATCAGCGTACTCATGTTCTTTCTCTTCTTAGACAGGTGGTCGACCAGGCGTTGGCGAGCCCGCAGCGATGACGCTATGGCAGGAAGCCACGATGGCAGGCCTCCGAGCAACAGCAAGAAATTCTCATCGAATTTCTGATAGTCCTCCAAGACGATGGGACTGTATGCACCGTCCCCGAATATGGCATCGGCTGCACTGGCAAAAGCCGTCCACGAAACCAACGAGCAAAGATCCAGGCTCTGCCATTGCTTGTTGTCTGGGGTCAGTTCCAACTCAGCCTCTACGTCGTATGGATTATGCCGTGATGCAGTGCAGCCAGGCACCTCCGGCAGGCATAGGAAAGACCTGAGAGTGTCCTGGTAGGTAGATGTCAGCTCTGCCAAGGGTGCACCGGAGAGGTGGTTGAGGTAGGATGCGCGGTGGTCTTGCTGCAGAACTTGCTCCGCACGCGCCAGCTGCGTGCCAAAGATCTTTACCGCCATTTCCATCTTCAGCTCGGTAGCACTCAGTACCTTGCTCTCTCGCTGGAACGCCACAACATGACGGTAGTCACACAGCAGCAGAACACGATTACCGGCGGCCATCACGGTGAACACACTGCCATGCTTCTTCTTCATGTCCGCGACAAACTGACACGGATCCTTGCCGAACGTGGCCGCATGGCCCCACCATGGAATGGTACCGGACAGCAGTGGTGGCTCGCCATGACGACGATGTACATAGTACACGTACACGTAGGCCAGTATGGCTATCAACATTGGCAGTACACAGCCAAGCACAGTGACACCACCCGGTAGAAGATCACTCTCTTGTTGCTGCTGCGCGTGCGGCTCATGATCGAAATCCACAGACATGGTGGTGTACAGCTAACGTCTTCGGCCCAGCTGCTACTCGGCTCACGACCCTGCACTGACAAAGGAACAGACCATGTAAGGTTGTAGGTACAGGTATGCCAGTTCAACTTTGCCTATTGTAGCTCACTAGTATTAGCCGTTGCGGCGATCACAGGAAATTTTAGAAAGCCACAGTTCAGATAATACTCTGTGGTCGGAGTGGTTGGACACTGTCACACTGTCACCGGCGTGTAACACTTACACAACGCACTGCACTTCCATTCCAGGGGGATTTACGTCAACCAACACGAGTCAGTAGATGTTGCTGGAAGGAACGGGCGAAGTGAAACTAAAATCACACGGGGCATCGGCGTTCCGAGGGTATGCGACAGAGACGGGGACGTGGTTGGCGCCGGAACTGGCTTCGGCTATCACTCTCAGCTTCACCAACCGGCCATGTGGACCTGGTCCCTGCGTCAGATCAAATCCACTCACTGCCTTCCGCCGAATCCGCGCTCCCGCTAGCCTTCTGTGTGACTGTCAAAGACTCTTTGTGCAGTTTTATTTCGTGGCTTTCACGTTTCATCGGTCCAGGTGGGACCTGGTAGATCTAGTCGTAGTGATAGACCTGTACAACCGTGATCATGCAGGCGAATCGCTAACAGTAACACCAAGAAGAGTAGATCTACATGGTTTATGTACTCTTGGTAGCACACTCAGCCTGCATGCTGCAGTCGACACACGTAGGTCTACTGCCAGTACTGGTGTTGTTGATGATGATACTGGTCAGCCAGCTCGATCGAGTCTCGTATGCACAGTCACCAATGGTCGCGTAGATCTACGTGATCTACACACTACTTGTTGGTCTACCACCATTTTGTAGTTCAAGAGTAGAGAGTCGATGACTAGACTGGGCATAATCTATGCCATGACTATGACTAGTCGACTGTAGCATGTTGCTGCCAAACCCCCACACTAAAAGTACAAGTATGGCGTGTACGTGCACATCCGTAGGCCCTAGCCCTACTGACTGCGATTTTTTTCCTTTTATATACAGGATGACTGTGTTCATACACTAGTGCATGCAGGTGCATGCAAGTAGCGGCAACTCCATAATATTAATTTTAAAAATGGTTATTCTTGGATGTATGGGATATTCCGCCGTGGTGGGAGACCTACGAAACCAGATTATGTTTTCCTGCTGCGATGGACGGTCACATGCCCTGCACGCCTAACGCCGCAGAGTTGGGAGCTCCTTTCCGCGTGCTGTCGCCGGATAGCTACCGTGCATGCTGGCTCGGCTTGGGTTGGAGGGAGGGAGGTCCATGCATGCCATTGCACACCAGCAGAGCGCTGGGGTAACATTAATTCATTCTCACGTTTCAATTGAGTGTTCCGTTCGCTTTCTAAGTTGGGTTGTCGTGTCACTTGGGCTCTCATCACTGCTGGTAGTTTCAAGCAATTGGCTTCGTGATTAAATCCTTTAAAATCACGTACAACTGCCTGGGCCAGTACTAGAATACCTCCCTGGCTCTGCTTGGTCTGTAAAAGACTCCTTCAGGACTTGCTATGCTGTTGATTAACATCAGTTACTTGGTGATACTGATAGCAAGAGTTAGAGTGCATCGGGACCATGACCCCGGCCCGGGTTTGTGGACGCTTTACATACCCAGGCAAGCTGACAGTGAGACATAGTGCATTGGTCGGGTGACCACTGTCTCTATAGAACTGTCCATGTTGCGCATATCCACGCTGTACCCATGGTCCCATGGTTGGTGCCTGTAGCGATGATTACTTGTACAGGATGCGATACCTTGTGTCGTATTCGGTCGGCCCGGGGTTAGGCCCCTGGGCCGCGGTAGACATAAACTAACTTCATAAACTTATGAAACCATGCTGTTGTGGCCACTCGATCCGGAGCCACCGGAAACAGAAGAGTAGGTGTGCTCTTGAGCTGGAACCAGTGAACCACAGCCGTTCTTGTTCGGCGGCTGCTGCTCATGAAATATACATGTAATCTGCAGCTGTCTGGATCATTCAGATCAGTGAGGGATACTAGTATCTCATCTTATCTTGCCCCCGCTTTGTCGACAGTAACCTTGTGTGATCAGCTCTCTGTGCACATACAATGAACTTCAAAGTACATGTACACATAATTGTGCATTGCTCACTACCACAGCAGACAATACTACTGCCTACCTTCATGTGTATAACCAAGAGTACAATCATAACCTGGTTATGTACTCTTGGTACAACGAATCGATACTGTGTTATGCTTGTATTGTCTTCATCAAGAACTATGAAGTGCTGTGGCCTGTGGAATCGCATGGGTATTTACATGATTGTACATACATGTACGGCAGAAACAACCATGCAGCATGTGTACTGGAGTCTGTTTAATAGCCACTTTTAAAGAAATTGCTCCCATACACCCATACACCATCAAGCCTAACGTGCATGTACTCCTGAAGCCACTCAGCATATGCATAATTATACTGTAGTACAAATACTACACAGCAATGAATCAAACAAGTCTCATTCCGCTGTTACTCCGAGTTTCGTGTCAGAACACTTCATCAGACAGCATAATGACCAAGACTAACAATCCCTAGAATATATATACGGAGAAGGGGAGAAGGGGGCAAAGGTGATGGAGGTACATTTCAGTAGCGCGAGTAGATGTACATGTACATGTACATGAGTGATAACACATCACTAACGTCACTTGAGTGATAACACATCACTAACGTCACTTGAGTGATAACACCTCACTAACGTCACTTGAGTGATAACACATCACTAACGTCACTTGAGTGATAACACATCACTAACGTCACTTGAGTGATAACACATCACTAACGTCACTTGAGTGATAACACATCACTAACGTCACTTGAGTGATGACATAATAATTATTCCAACGAGTCGGCGTCTTGGTTTAGGGTATGGGTTTCATGCACACTTTGCACGAGTGCATGGTTTTCAGGTACTATAAGTATAATACATGCAAAATACAGCACCTCAACCTTGCCATAACACTTGAATAATGTAAATCAGAATGCTTGTTGATAATTAGGCCAACCAATTCTGTTTTTCTTTTTTTTTTACAAAAAAACACACACCATTTGACGGCACAAAGCAGCAAGGCAGCGATGAGACATATGGAATGGCAGGAGTGGGGGACCATATATAGGGTCTCGGCTTCATTGCAACCCAAGCGCTCCACAAACAGTGCACATGAAAACTTCTGGCTGCGCATGACATTGGTGGCATAAACCAAGGGCGTGAATGCACCTCTCTCAACACGTATCACCCTCTGCAGGCAGGCTCTCTTGTTGGTCAATTCTTTAGTATAGCGCTTTTGCTGCTTTGGTACAGTATTGCCCGCACTTGATAGTTCAAGCCTTTCTAGCATGCTCCGCTCCTCCTTCACAAAACTGGTATTAATGCAGATCCAAATAGTTGGGTTGTGGCAGTCCTGATGCACAACGACGATTCCCGGCAACTCCTGAAGGTGGTTTGTGCAGTGCGTTCCAGCTGCCATGCGGAACACTCCACCAACCACCTATCCCTTCCAATCTAGTTCCTCTTTTCAGTCACACCTCCATCGTCCTCACTTCTTGAAAATGTAGCCGGGTATCCTTCAGTATAGCTACTTCACTCCACCACACGCTGTCACGCTGTGGTGGTTACGGCAACAACAACGACGGAAGCACTGGGATAGCTCCATAAGCGCCAACGACAATAGTCATGGACAAGTGCCGTATACCATGTACCAAAGCATCTCATACATTATAATAATTATTATTAATGTTTGAAACTCGGATGTTGAGCCATAAATAAATGTAAAAGAGAAAAGGACATATGGATACGAGTTTAGAGTAACTCTCCATCACTGTAACATGATACTATATACAGTTTGGTCTTTCCATAACCTTGAACCTTCCAAGTTGGAAGGCTGTCGGTTAGCGCTACGGAGATGTGTTAAAGTTAGGTGTCAGGACGTCGAATGTCTCAGTACTCTGTCAGTTTTGTGCCTAGTTATTGCACTTTCTGACTGTATATAGTATCATGTTACAGTGATGGAGAGTTACTCTAAACTCGTATCCATATGTCCTTTTCTCTTTTATATTATTAATGTATTTGAAAAGGCGACGAGGAGACAATAACTTTATTAATGCGATTAATAGTATAAGTGAAGCGGACATTACAAAATGATGAATGAGAATACATGTATCTAAAATGGTTGTTCCTAATCGATTTTCTTGAGACTATCATCAGGGAAAATCGTCTCACAATAGAGGCTATACGGAGAAACAAACTACTTATAGGTTAATGGATAGTGGGAAGTATACAAGGTGAGGTGTGAAAAAAAACTAAAGTGGGAGAGAAGACGAAAGAAATTAGAAGAAAAGATGTGAGAGTGTTCTGACGGTGTGAGCTACTACAAAAGGTGAGTGAAAATGAAGGCGTGGAAGCAGGTGAATGTGATAGAGTGAGGAACTGTGAGGTGTAGGTGTATGCGAATGAATACGTGTGTGAATGCTAGGTGAAGAGTCTCAGTTTTGTGACATTTTCTTTCTGAATGCATAGATTAGGATTGTGTTTACGGATGAAAACAGCTTCTAATACCTTAAGTTCACGAAACCTACGAGCACGACACAAAACAGTGAAGCATGAATCATCATACACTGAGCGGCATTGGCTACTAGACAAGAGGTGTTTCTTAATGGCTGACCCTTTCGTTGTGGTCTCACCTTCAGTCCGGTCATCTTCATCTTGGTTGTCCAACTCACTCTCTTCATCACTGCTCTCACCTTCCTCATCCTCCTCCGCTTCCATCCCGTCCTCTGCACCCAACGACAATCCCACGCTACTGCTCGCTGCCAGTCCATGTCCGGTTGTAGATGCTATTACCCGCGTACGAGTCATGCTCCTAGTTATTGGTCTCCGTACCTGTGTTTGGCCATTTCCTTCAGTCTCACGTACCTGTGTACTTGTAGTCCGTTCAACCGGTACTGTGTGGTTCTGTTGTAATTGTGCAACTGGCACCTGTTTGCGGGGACGGCCTCGTCCAGGTCGCTGGGCTTTGGCTCCATCTGACAATAGGTACAATGGTACATGTTGTTTGACGCGTGCGTTCAGGTGCTGAAGGGTTCTTCCTACATATCGGCTATCACAATGCCGACATTCAAAATGATAGATCACATGGCTAATCAGTTGGGTAGGAAGAACATCCTTCTTCACCGTGAACGCACGGGCCGTAGTAAAGACTGTTGTCAATGCTGTGGCAAAATAGGTTTGTCTGACAACAGTCCTCACGGCGCGGGCCACATCCAGCGAAATTTGACCTTTCCATGGAAGTCGTAAAAACACACGACATGGGTCAGGTCCAAACTCAGGCTCGGCAGCCTGAATATCAGGTTCGTTAAACAGCTTACTGAGGAGCTGTACAGGATATCCATTCTGAACGAATACCTTCTTCAGGAAACAAAGCTCTTGCTGAAGCTTATCAGGCGAGCAAATCCGCCTAGCGCGCATGATCAAATTTCGTACGAGATTAGTTTTGTATAAAGTCGAGCAATAGGAGTCGTAGACAATGTATTGCCCGGTGAACGTTGGTTTTCGATATACTGAAGTTGAAACACCCATCTCCGTTTTCTCGACTAACACAT